AGTGTTGCTGCCAGGACTCGCTGCCGATTCGCCTCCGCGCAGAAAATTGTGCATAAATCGTCGCTATATGGGTGACGCGTGCCCCGGCAGGGGACCCTCGTATCTGTGGCTTTACATGCGTAAATTTCTTGCGTGACACCTGGCATGTGAGCCTAGCCTTTGTGTGCTGTGCTTCTTTCTTCAGCCTGCTGGCAAGCCCCTCCCTTGGCTGCTGCCTTAGGGGAGACGTTTCAGGGCCATCTGCAGGGACCCCATCCGGCCCGCCGTGTTCATTTGGGGGGCCCCCTCGGAGGATGGCTGGTGTATGCGGAACAAACAGGGGTTCTGCCTCCCACTACTCTCATCTGCCTCTCAGATTCGGGTGCCCATCTGCAGATTTGGGGTCACATGTCCTTCTCTACGTACTACCAGGTGAGCAAGCCCTTGGCGCTTCATTAAGGCCTCCCTCACATGCCCCTATACGGGATCGGCTGCTGTGTGTGCAACGTATGTGCCTTATGAGGCTCGTAGAAGTGTAAGTTTCAGAGACGCACACACAGCTATTTCGACTCCACCCATTAGTCTGAAGCAGTGACGTTCTGGAGCTATGGCTGTGTGGCGGTGCTTCTGGATGAACACACGCATTCTGTGGCCCCTCCCTACAGATTTGACTTTTTCCTTCAGTGGGGGCCCCTCTAGGTCAAAAAGTCCTTCGGGGCCCCACCTGATCGTACAGCGCCCGTGCATTGCATGTCTGTTGCTGCGCAGAAAAACCGCTGCGTAGTCTCTGTGGGAGGTAAAGTGACTGTGTCATTTGCTGGCGAAGGCCCTTACTCCTTCTCCCTCCCAAAGCTCCACATCCAGGGACTGTTGTGGGGCCCCCGTCTGTTCTACTGGCAGGGGCCTCTGCATGTAGAGGGGCCTGGTCTTGCCTGCACCCTTACCATAGGGCCCCCTGGAGGCCCTCTCCGAAGCTCTGAGGGGGCCTTCATCCCCCAGTGCCCTCTGGATGAGGTGTTTGGGCAAGTGGTACAAAAAGACTCGCAGCAAAAAGAAGCGGAAGGGGCCGTTGGGAAACCTCAAGAGGGGTCCTCACAAGTGTTGGGAGTCATCACCGGATCCTACACTGATCGCATCTTTTGGAATGGAGAAGAGTGAGTCAGCGCCTCATGCTGTTGCTGCTGCAACACGGGGCGTACATAGGCGTGCATGCAGCCGTTTTGCATCCATGTGCTTCATCGCGTCTCCGTTGCATGTGCTCACAACAACCCGGAGTTGTAGGCCTATCCGTGGGTGCTTGTCTCGCGTTTAAACCGTTGGTGCCCTGTGTGTATCCTAAAATCATCTAGGGTTCAGCGCGCTTTCGTGGGCAGTTACAGAGACACTGCAACGTACAGATTTCCATGGAAAAGCATCGACGACAGGCTCTCCTTGAACCGTGCTGTTCCTGCGTCTCTTTTGCTGTCTGCTCAAGAATTTGGAATGTCTGCACTCCCCAGAGCTTCTCCCTCTTGCCAGTCCCAGATGAAGAAGCCCTTCCGATAGACAGCAGGTGCGCTGCCCAGAAGCCTTGATGAAGGGGCCTCCGGCGCTGGCAAAGGCCACTGAGGCGCTTCCTGCCCCCCTTTTTAGCATGCGAGAAGGCCGTCTACGGCTGCCTTTAGCGTCCTGCGTACCATGCCCTGTTGCTGGTGCTGCTTCTGTTGGGTGCCTAAGGTGTGCGACTCTCCAGTGTGCTGACTCAGGTTTCGCCCCGAGGGATTGCTGCTCTCTCTAGGATATGAGGAGATGGCCAATCGGCTAAGGCAAAAGGCACTCCAAAGAGAGGAAGCTGATATGTTCGCGCAGGCACCCTTCCCATCCCCTCCCTTCCCATCCCCCCACTCCTCGGCGAACACACACCCACACACATACACGCACACGCACGCACACCCCCGCTGCGCATTGAGACCCCTACAGGGTCTCATGCACTGATCCTGCGCCGAAGCTCCCTTGTTTCTGTCTATGCGCTGCCCCGTGTACCTAACTGCGCCTGCCTCTGCCAGTGCCTCCGCCGGTCCTTCCTGCCTCTTCCACCGTCTGAAGCTGTCCTTTTGTTCCGTCGTTAATAGTGCTACACCTTTACCACGTCTGTCTGCGTTTTTCAGGGCCCTCCGAGACAGTCGGGGGGACACCCACCCAAAACCCACGTGTGGGGAAGTCCCTTCAGAAGGGACGTTCTTGGAGGCTCCCGTACACTCGGCGCCGGAACTAACACCCCGCGCACGTGCATAAAAATTTACACTGCACACTGGAATATGGCTATCTCGTGTCATAGAGGGGCGCCAGTACTGTGGTAAAAGGATCCCCTAGGAACCTCACATCGGGCAGCTTGATTTCCTTGCCATACAGACGAGCCCCTTTTGTTGCAACACTCCCTTCTTGTAGAGAGGGAAATTCATGTGCTTCTTCTGCCAAGGCTTGCCTTTTAAGAAGTAAAAAAGCCCCCCAAAATATTGCGGCTAAACCCGGGATTGTAGTGCTCTCCTGCACAGCGCAGCGCACAGGTGCCAGGTCGCTGCAGTGAGCGATGCATCCGGAGCAACTGCCTCAGCGACGTGGTCAAGGGCTGCCTTACGTGGCGTAGAAAGGTCAGGGCGAACACGATAGGATACGATTCTGGGGCCCTCCAAAGGGGCTCTTGGTGGGTGCTCACGAACGGGCCCCTCGATGCGGCGCCGGGTGCCCTTTATTGGGTCGAAAGGTCCCTGATCTGCAAATTGAACAAGCGAGAATCTTGCTTAAAATCAAGACGCAGCAGCACAATACAGAAACGCAAACTGAGATACAGAGAGCTACGAAACGTCCTCACGCAGACATACTGTGGCCCTAATGGATTTAGATGGAGGCACCAGGCACAGAAGACGCAGCCCTGTGGGAGACAGAGGGAGACAGAGTATTTGCGGAGAGTGGGAGGAAGGGAGGAGGTGTTGCGAGACCGCCATGTGGCAGTGCAAAAGCAAGCTGGAGGATGCAGCAAGTTGCATTAATGAGAGCGCTGGAAACAGGGATGCGAAAGGGGTACGGGATTGAAGAGATGAAGGCGGAACCGCCAAAGTGCAGTACAAGCCCAAGTGGCGAAAGGACAGACGCAAGGCATGGAGAGAGACTATGGCCCTCAAGGAAACTAGAGAATGCTGTGACGGAGGGCAGGGGATGGGGGATTGGCTCTGGGAGCAACAGAAGCGCCGTAGGGGCCCCCCATACAAGCAGCGGCAATATAACTCCAGATACTCCGCAGGGATCGCTCACTGTTGTGCGCAGCAGCCACCATTTTTAGGAAGCTCTCGCTTTGTGGGGCTGGTAGTGTTTTCGCATTTCGGGTTAGGACCCCCTGACAGATGGCGTTGTGCTTCTTCGCCCATTGCTGCAGCACCAGAAAGAGGGAGCTAGAGAGACACACAGAAGAGGCGTGCATGCTGCCAGTTTGAGTGCCAATTTCGCAGTCTACAGCTGCTGATGGTCCAGCGGGGCGGCCGGGGAGGTGAATCCCACTAGAAGGCCGCTCAATAGCGCGGTGGCATCCCACCAACGACCGCCAGAGGGGACACTGCGTAGTATAGCTGCGACCTCACTGAGCATTCCTTTTTGGACGCGAATGACGTTAGTGGCCCGTATAAGGCCGCCCCTGAAGCCGCCGATCCTGAATGCCGTAGTGAGCAGGCAGAGGCGAGACACGCAGGAAGTAAGCTTCCTCCAGCCATGTAGGCACCCTTAGTTAAAAGGCTCTGATAGTCATACAGGAGTCTTGCTGAGAAAAAAGCTGGCCTACGGGATACGATAGGAGTGCTCCCTGGAGCCCCCTGGGGCGTCGAGGCTCTCTGGGCTTTGCGTGGGCCTAGGGTTTGCTGATACTCCGTTGCATTGGTCATGCTGCTCTCACTTTCCCTTGACTCCATCCCTTTTCAATTTATTCCTTAAATACCTAGGTTCCGGATTAAGGGGAGGGCACCACGTCTATGGATGCTGATGGTGACCTGGGGTGTCGATCTTCAGGTGACCTTGCGCCCTAGTGCCTCAACTTTGGCCTTCCCACTGCGATCGTGAACTGTTCGAGGTCTTGAATTAGTCCTCACTCTGTATTGTTTTTCTTGAAGGGATTTGTGTTCTGCCTCCACTCGTGGGGGCTTTTGTCGGAGTCCCTCAGCACTTGGGGGCCGGCCTTACGGGGCCACGGGGGCACATAGGCCTAGGAGCATCTCAGCAAGTCAGCAGTGTTCGGTTTTCTGCAAATGAATGGATAGGTGAGACCGAATATATTTGCAAGATAAAAACCTCCTACATTTTCTCCAAAGGGGTGTTGTCCATTGGCCCAGAAGGCCGTGAAGCCTTACTAAAATGGGCGGGGGACCCCTCAGTCGGAATCGAGGAGAAGCAAGGAAGCAAAGGATAATCTGCATAGTGCGAGGCCCTCTTCCGTACCGCATAAACCTTTAGGAAAGGCAAGGGCTATAGCTTGAGAAAACACCCTTTAGGACACCTTTGCCTACCGTCTGAAGGGCCCTCCCAGGCTCCGAGATAGCTACTTTTTCGAAAAGACTTTTGGGGTCGGCAGACATATGCAGAGGATATTCAAGTTTGCTCGGTAGGGGCTCTAGCCGAGTAGCTGGTGGCGGATCGACACGGAAGAACCTATGCGCCTCTGCCCATGGGAGCAGGTGAAGCAACGTGGTGACCAAGAGACGGAGTGCGGCAGCCGAAGAGGAGAGGGAGGCAGAGTTCTGCGTACGAGAGTTAGAGCTGACATCCGCTACTTTTGGTACCGCAGCCAAGGACAAGAGAGACACAGGAGTGACTCTCAGAAACACCTGACAGAGAAAACGCCAGAAAGAGTGGGCAAGAGAAGCATATAGCTAGCCCAAGAGGCTTGGCAAGCGAGTTTTTCGGGCGGGGGTTGAAGCAGGGAGTACACATAAGGCTAAAAAGGAACGCTAAGGATAGACGACCTCTACGGCGCTCACGACTACAGTAGAATGCTCTCCACGAACGTGCGAGTGGTCGTACGGACTCGTCCCTTCGCCTCCAGCAGCTCGGAGCTGTTCTCAGTGGATGAAGAAAAGGAGGCCGTGGAGGTTAAGGTCCCACTGAAGCACGAGTCTTACCAGTTTAGGTTCAATAAGGTGCTGCACAATGCATCCCAAGAAACTGTCTTCAACGAGTGTCTGCCCAAGATTTTGCAGGGAGCAGTCGAAGGCTACAATGGCACAGTTATGGCCTATGGACAGGTGGACGAACAAACGCACGATACTCCAACTGGGAAAAGGGCAATCCCGATTGCGGGACATTTTCCTTGTCTCATCTCTTGGACTCTTTCCCTAATCTCTGGTTTCGTTTTTATATATCTAATAACTTATGGAAACTCATTCCTGCTGTGCTACTTGTCTGTTCGCCTATCTGATTCCTTCTGCGTTGACATCTCAAATACACCAGCGCTTGTCTTAGTTTATCTTTGTTTCGCTCTGCCGGACTCCTAGCTTAGTCCTCAAGCGCACGCAAAACCGCGAATACGTTCATCCGTCAGCAAATCATGGTGTATCTTTCTCTGTCCTTGTCGCCGTGCTACCCTCTGCGAGCTTACAGCCCTTAGTGCGTTGGTCTGCTTTTTGAGTTTCGACCGTACTTATCGCTCTTCCGCAGTGACTGTGAGTGGTTGACGTGTTTCGCCTTTTTGTGCACTTCTGCTGTCGCCATCGGTTGCCGTGGATTCCGATTCCGCGGCACATCTCCTGAATGTGTCCCAGTCCAAAGCATTCCATAAATAATCTCGCCATGCAGTGCAGACGCAGCGAAACTCACGACCTGCAACTTAAAATTTCAAGGTTTTGGATTGGGATGCAGGACTCCTTTGGGGGTTGCACGTTTGCAGACCGGCGCGGGGAAGACATACACGATGTGTGGGAGTTTGCGGAGCTTTGATTTGAGAGGCATCATTCCCCGTTCGATTTCTTCTTTGTTTTCTCTCTTGGAAGAACAAACGGGGATAGAGTTCTCCCTCTGTGTGTCCTACTGTGAAATCTACTCCGAACTCATTTTTGATCTGCTGGCCGAAGGAGGACTAGAGGGACAAACCGGCACTGAGCTTCAGGCCAGTAAAACTTAGAGATATGCTTGTTTTCTATGATCATAGTATGCCTCGGGAGCAGGAACGAGGGGCAGCACGCTAAGGTTCGCGTTCAAGCGAATTCCTGTCACATGTTCTATGGCGAAGGACCGGACGTTGGTCTGTGGGTAGAAGTGCGTAGTGGTTGACGGATTCTGCGAAGACATATGATGCATTTCCATAGTCAGGCTTGCTGTATGTTGTCTGTGGAGTGTGTATCTTTGCAGATCCAGGAGGACTCCCGGGGTGGATTGTCGGTTCGTGGGCTGTCTCAGCGTCCTTGTGGGTCAGTGTCTGAGGCGTTGAACTACTTTTACTTAGGGTCGAGCCTCCGCTCTGTCTCCTCCCACGGGATCAACTCCCAGAGCAGCAGGAGTCACTGCATCTTTACGGTCTATATACAGTGCAAAAGCACGGTGAATACAGCAGAAGCCACAAAAATCAGCAAGTTGCATTTTGTGGATCTCGCTGGATGCGAGAGGCCCAAGAAAACGCAAACGGAGGGAGTGCTCCTCAAGGAGAGTGCATTTATTAACAAAAGCCTTTCGTTTCTAGAAATGGTGGGCTACCCGCATGACGCTCGTTGTTTAGGATGTAAAGATTGGACAATAATGCCGCAAACAGTACTCCAGTTTTTTCCTTTAGGGCACCCTTGGTATGCATTGTGCTTTGGAGACAAAGAATTTGTGGTGTCTACTCAGGTGGTGGTCGCCCTTGGAGAGAAAGGCAGAGAACACATCCCTTACCGGTCAACCCGCCTGACACATTTACTGAAGGATACGATTGGGGGTAAGCAGGCAGTAAGGCTTTTAGCTTGGGGCTATGTGCGGTCCTTTACCGACGGTTAGAACTGTTAATACTGGCCGTACTCACAGCTGCGTATGCTTTTCCGTGTGGCGATCCGCAAGACTGGTGGTGCCCATAGAGCCCGCGTCGTCGAGTATGCTGCAACTGCAAATCTGTTCGACTACTGCTGCAGGAAACAGCAATACGTGCTTGATAGCAAACATATGGCCTGAGAAGGAACACCTCGAGGAAACACTCTCCACATTGCGGTTTTCCTTGCGGATGATGCGGGTCCGCTAATCTGTCCCTTCCAATGTAGCTTTGACCCTGCCTTTTCGTGCCTTGGCGCTCCTCTTGGTTACTGATTTTCTTTTCTAATCAGCACCCTTCGTTTTGACTCCTTCTTGTTGCATATTTCCTTCCTTTTGTTTGACTTCCCCCGAGTTATATCCCTCCTGTTCATAGTCTTTGATTTCCTTGTTCTTCATCGTGACCTCTGGGTGGCTTGGAGGCCTTCGGTCTCTTTGCCAGTGGCCGCTGGTTTGCCTAACTGGCGAGCTGACATGCAAGCTAGCTGCAATGCTGGGTCGATACGAAAGTTGATGTGCAGCCCTAAGGAGGCGTTGCCTCAGGTAGCCAATAAGGCTGTGGTAAATTTGGCGGTGGACCCGTTGGATGTGGTCAAACGTCTTGAAAAGGAAGTTGCGCGTCTCAAGCAGGAGTTGCAAATAAGCAACGCTCTCTTGGGGAAGCCACCTCAGGTCACGCACACCCTTCACTAGGAATAATGTTCCAACTAGAAAGCTCAAAGTCAATTGCTCTCATGCCGGGGGTTCCATTTAGACTCCAGGGTGTTCTAACTGGGCTGCTTTACAGGGACTAGGACTTGGGAAATCCACTGCACCACACGGATTTTTGTGTGTCTGTAGCTTCTGGCTTGGGGTTTCCAGTGTAAGAATTCATGTTTCTCTCTTCGAGTCTAAGGAGAAGCACTACGTGGTAGGGTTTGTGGCTCAGTCCTTCGAAGCACCTAGCCCGGAAGAGATCGAGGAGATGCGGAAGGAGGCTACGCTATTCTTGAATGGCGAACAAGAAGCAATACCCTTTAGCTCACTTAGGTATTACAGCAGAAGCAGCAGCAGCACTAGCAGTACCAGCAGCAGAATGAACAGGATAGCTCGCCTTTTGCTGCAGATGTCCTTGTTTATGGAGAGCCACCGTAGCTGCCATAGACTCTTCATTAACTTCTGCAGGAAAATGGAGGAGCTTCTGCACGTGATTCGCTCCATTTTTCAAGAGACGACAGCAGCAATCAGGCGAGAAGCCTCATATTCAGGGTCTGTTGCCGCCTCTGTCCCACACAGCGAGAACTCGGTGGGGCACCAGGGGGCCCTCGAGCTCGCGGGGAACTCAAAGGCAGTAGGGGCCACTGCGCCAGCAAAGTCGGTGAAAGAACAGAGCAAGGCGAGCCAACAGGGGAGCCCACAAGGGGCACCCTCCTTAGCGCCGAAGCCAGTGCAAAGTGAGCTGCAGAGTACAAAGCTCAATGTTTGTGGACCTTAGGAGGCGTCATTAAAGTGCGGTGCTACACAAGCAGTTTTTAACCCCTGTGCGCCGAACAACCACACCGGTAACAGCCATACGAGACACTACAGCCCACACAGCAGCAGCCCCACTATCATAAGCGCACGAAAAGTGCCTCAACAGTAGCAATAGAGTGCAGGTGCCTTTCACTCAGAGGTGGGATATGAGGATCCCTCAGTAGGTGGTCACTCCCTAGGAATCGACCCAGACCAGTCCGAAATATGCCACACGCAAAAAGCCAAAGAAACCAGGCAGCCAACATGCAGCGAGTAAGCAATTAGGAGGTGTGCAGCTCTCCAGCTGTTCGACTTACAAGATAATCATGCATGGCTCGGAAGAAGGCTTGCGCATCCAGCGAACAATTACTGTTTTGCGGCCTCACAACCTCGCGAAACTGCTCGCTAAAGGTTTAGGGCCTCGGCACACGATTGGGACGTAAGGTGTGCGTATTTGTGCTCAGTCCTCCGCGTGGGAACGCCAGTGCAGCTTCTTTGGAGCCACCCACTGCTATCGACAGAGTTCGTGCATTCAAAGAGTTCAAAGAAACGCAGGGACAACAATTGCATTTGTCTCTGGTCTCCTTGAAGGCTCAGCAGCAGCAGGAGAAGACGCAGCTGAAGGTCCTTAGTCAGGTGAGGAGAGCTCACCAATAGCTTAAGGGGGGGGCGCCCACGCGCATCGACGGGCTAGAGCCGCGCCTGGCTTCATGAGCGTCCTCCACGTGCCGTGCCTACTGGCAGCGCATCAGAGGCTAGAAAAAAAATCACATGCACAAAAGGGGACTGAGACAGCAATAGAGGCTCACAGACGCAAGACGCCAAGTGATAGGGAAGGGAGGAAGCACCAAAGAAAGAATAGGGCATCGATAGAGAGCGAAGCAAGATTCTACAAAGGAACATGAAGCAAGGCTCGGAGCTGCTTGGAATATAAGAACTGTGACTTGTTGCCATGGGGATGCTGTGCGACTTATGTTGCCAAAACCTATATCTTCAGGAAATACTGGCGTTCAGGGACAAGCTGAAAAGCCTCAGGGAAGAAGTCGGAGGGAAAGAGGAACATGGAAAGCCCACTCAACCGGTGAAATTTCAAATCCTGAGCGTGCACCCCGACATGGACAGATATGACTTTGATGAGAGCAACACAGGGAGGGGGAAAGCGAGTGAAAAGTAGCCAACACCAATAAAGCATATAAAACGGGGAACAGAGAGAAGCAAAAGGAGTCAGATAATGCGCCAAATGAGCTAAGAGAGGCAGAGAGAGAGCGAGCGCGAGCGAGATAGAGTCAGAGGGGCACAACTAGCGATGTGGTGGCTGGCCAGATGTTGGCTCCTTTTGCCTGCATTTGACGCCCCTAGCAGGCAGACACCGCGGGAAGTCCTCGTCTGGTAGACGCCGAAGAGTTCGCATTACTCAAAGAGATCCGTCACCTCAAAGCTGTCAGCTCTATTCGGCGCCCCACTTTGCTGGTGTTTGTGGATCTGTTGCTTTCCTCGGTGTTGCAATGTATTCTTACTTGCTGGTTGTCGCTATGGCTGCTGCTGCTACACTGACTGACTATGGCAAGCTAATACCTCTTTATCTTTTACTCCTGATCTCAAATCCTGCCGGTTCTAGCTGTCTTCCAAACTCCTTCGCTAAGTCCCTGCATTCCCCCTACCTAAGAATGCTTACAGTCTGTTTGTTCTGCTCCGCATGCGTGTCCGTTTATCGCATACAGAGCATTCGGTCTCACTATAGCCTCTACTGCTCCCTCAAGAGCCAAGCGCGACAGACTGATGAGACGCTCAATGGTCTAAGGCTAAGCCTCGTGCAGACGTTTGATACATGGTGAAACAACAATACCCACCAAATATATGCACATACTCTAAAAGGCTACTAACATACTCTTAATTAGGCCTTTAAAGCCTTACAGGGGGCTCATACCCAGGTGGAGGTAACCTTGAGTATAGCAGAGGAATCACACATAAGACCACATACTATAGAGGGGACGATTCAGCGCCCCTTGTGAGTACTTCGAGACTTGAAGGAAAGTATAGACTAGTGTATAAAGGAGCGTGGCCTTCTTTCGTCTGGTATGCCGCCTTTAGGTATGAAAGGAACTATGCCATCGGCAGCAGACCGACGGGTGGGAGACGGGGTGTGAGAGCCGAGGAACATTCATCTGGTAGTGCTGCGTCCTGCAATCCTGCTAGCCCTTCTCCAGGCGTGGTAGCAGGGAGAAAAGTAAGTTGCCGCGCCTGCGGATGATCCTGTGTTTTGCTAGCACTTCAGTTGAGTTCCCTTTTGCTAATATTGCCGCTGCTTTGCTGCTGCATGCTCTGCTATTGTGCTTGGTGCTGCTGTTCAGGAGTCTGCTCATTTCCTGGAAGGAGTGGAGAGTGCAAAGGAGGCCTTCTACACAGCGGTGTAAGTTGACACTTAACCGAAAACCTTGGTCTTCTTCATGCAGCATCAAAAGGAAGAAAGCTAGAAACAGCACCAGCTGCAGCAGTAGAAAAGGCAGTTGCCCTTGTTCGTTTCAGGCGTTACGCCAGGAGATCGACCTCCGTCATAAAAGCGGTAAAGAGGCGAGGGCACCGCCGCTGACAAGCCTCTATCACCGCTCCTTCCTACTTCTGAGAGCAGGAGCCTTCCGTGTGCGACTTTCCCAGCATTTAGGGGAGAGCAGCTTGGGGCTGCCGGACAATTCAGTCACCTTGAAGTTCTCATCCGTATCATGTCGCACGGAACAACAGGCCCCTCTCCCCATCCTTTGTTTAAGCGGCCTGTCAGAGAGCCGCCTTTATGCGCCTCCGGAGGAGCCTCTTCGAAGATGTACTTCTCCCGGGGCGTCAGAGAGTCACATTGAAAGCCCACGTAGAAGCCCCCCAAATCCCCTCAGCGCCGATCCGGTGGTGAAGAACTGTCAGACCTTAAATAAGCAGTTGTGCGCTAGACAATTAGAACCATACTACTTGCGTTAAGTTGCCTCTGCGCTGCCTGAGGCGTTGTTAGGCGTTACCCTTTGGCATGGTGCCAGGTGAAATTTGTCACGCTTAGGGGTACTACTTTCCGTCACGCAGCCTCAGGATCCCTGGCCCCTATGCGCATTGTTTCTCGCATTAAGTCGTCAGACTCTTGCACACCCGATACGAAGCTACAGCTAGCTAGTCTTCAATAAGGATTAGAAGCAGCCAACAACGAAGCCCTTTTGAGGACGGGTTGCAAGGTTTACACCCGTCTGCTTGCAGTACGTTTGCCTTCAGCTCTTCTTTTACCGTTTGTTGGAGTTTACACAGGCTTCAATCCAAAAAGTTGATCACAAAAAGAATTAGGGCGAGGAACCCTGTACGGACTTCCTCGATCATTAGGTGACACCCCGTGAATAGCTTCACAGCTTATTGAGCCAAAATACACCTCGGCTAGAGAGAGAAGACGCCAACATGGTTGTGAATAAAATGGTGGTGAACCCCATAGCTGAAGTAGGATGCTCTGTGCAGAGCACTGGACCCTCTTACCCTGAGCTTGTTAGATGCCTCAGAGGGCAAACATACTCAGGTGTACTTCCCCCTGAACAGCTTCCTTTTCCTGTCGTCTCTTTTCCGTTAAAGCTCAAGTATTACAATCTCTTTTATGGGGTTGGGGGAGAAGGGGGGCGCCCTGGGGGAGGGCGATGTACTACTGCCTGAGATCGATCCAATGAGCGTTGCCTTTTGCATAGATCCTCATGCGCCTGCCTGGGGTGAAATTGAAGTTGTCGCGCAGCCTTCGGCAGCATTAATGCCTGCAATTATCCCTTACTTGGGTTCGGCTTTCCATTGTGTACAGACCTGCCCCCGTGGTGCTACAGTCGATGCAAGACAAGAGTAGGACTACAGTTGCCTCCAGGAGGGCCCCAGAGGCCCCCTGGCTACGGCCTTTGCTCCCCACCAAAAAGCCGCCGTAGAAAGCCCTGCTGTTTCGAAAATTCAAACAGTGTGTTGCGTATCTTCCAACCTCTGTTCTGCCAGCCTTCCAGCATCCCATAGACGTAGGGGCTACTGCAGACAGCGCAGCAGAAGAGCTAGCACCAACCGGGACTTACGAGCGAAATGAGTCTGTGGGGGTTCCGGAACTGCCTTTGTTTAGTGAGTATCTACTGCTTTTTCCGTATTATTGCCGTGGAATCCATCCGTAGGGTGCCTGTTCCCCCGTCCTTTTGCATCTTGGGGGGCCCTCATCTTCTTTCTTCTCTGAGGCTTGCTCCTTCCGCGCGACAGCAGCAGCAACGACGGCGGATAGAGGCATCTGCAAACATGGCTGGAAGAAAAAGCTTCCCCTCTCTATTCCTAGGGGCTGTACAACCCCGGGGAGGGGGGATCCCTGGGGCCTTTCTCAAGGGAGACTCTGCATCCTCGTTTTTGTGTTTTCGGGGGGCATGCGGCCTTGCTGCTGCAGCGAGAGCCCCGCATGCAGTAGCACCAGCCGCTGCTGCAGCAGCGGCATCCGAAAGTGTGCTGTTGAGGAGACAGTTCACTAGGACAAAGCAGGTGGCTACGATCGGGCCGGCCTCATGGGAAAAAGAGCAGGTAGGGCACACAAAAAACCCTAGTTTCCCGCCGTCCTTGTGATTCTACCGTTACTACGAGCTTTAAATGGGGTGTACACGCAGTACAGAGTCACTGTGTGCAGACGAGTTTTACCAGACAACGCACAATGGGTGTTGATTTTCAGCCATCGTTGCAGGCACCTCGTCTGTAGGCAGTGTGTTTGCAGCCAGCTGCTTTGTGGTGTGTGGCTTAGATTGAGCAGCTATACCTTAATGGTGTTGATGTGTTCCGCCTGAACTTCTCTCATGGCCTCTACACTGAAAAGTACCAGCAGTATTGCTACATCAAGGAGCTTGAGCTGAAGCACGGCAAGCCAATCGCCGTTCTTGCAGATCTTCCTGGACCGAAGCTTCGACTAGGTATCCTCGATCCGGATCAGCAATCGCTGCAACGAGGGCAGCAAATTTTTCTGGATGCCGGAGACTCTCCGGGGGCAGCCCGAGGGGGCCTCTTTAGAGCTCCGCTTCAGCAACAAGAGGTGCTGAAGGCCCTCCGGGTTGGACATCGCGTGCTACTGGATGATGGCAAGATTAATCTGAGGGTTGTTGAGCTCTCGCGCGCGCTAATGCAGCAGGCAGAACAGGACTATGATGAGTCGAAAGAGGAGAAGGGAGAAAATTTATGGGTTCGTTGCATTGTCGAAATAGGCGGCCCTATATCAAGTAAGAAGGGGGTGTCTCTTCCGGACTCTACCCTCGCTATTTCGGCTCTCACCAAGAAAGATAAAGCGATTGCAGCGATGGTCTCCTCGTGGGGTGTTGACTTTATTGCGCTCTCCTTTGTCCAAACTGCTGCCGACATCTATCAACTCCGCACCTTATTGCGGACCGCCCATGAAGCTCAAGTTCAGGGGGATCCCTCATCCTGGAGGGCTATGGGGGTGCCCTCGGAGGCCCCCATAGGTCCACCCCCAATGTGGGGGCCCCCCCATGGCTCGCACTGTCCTGCGCTGATTGCGAAGATTGAGAAAATACAGGCACTGAGAAGGTTGGGGGAGATCGCAGCGGCAGCCGACGGTTTGATGGTGGCGCGGGGTGACCTTGGCCTAGAGTTGCACCCCGGTGAAGTTCCAGGAGCACAAAAGGAGATTATTGAAGCGGCGAGAAGAACCCGTGTGCCTGTCATTGTGGCCACACAAATGCTGGAGAGCATGATGTTGAACCCGCAGCCTAGCAGAGCAGAAGCGACCGACATTGCTGCCGCTGTCTTTGACGGCGCAGACGCTGTAATGCTCTCTGGAGAGACCGCAGCCAGTGACAGGGGAGCTCAGATTGCGAGAATGCAGCGATTGATATTAACCGAAACAGAACGGCAGGAGAGGCTCTGGACTCATAACACCCTTAGGTCCCCCGAAGCTGCAAGAGCCTTTGCTGCGGCAGCCGCTGCTGCAGACCACTTCGCAGGGGAGGGTTTGCGCCGAGGATCTTTGTCGGAGTCGGCTACCTACGGCAGTCACCAGGAGGAAGGAAGCCTCAAGGACAGCCCGGGAAGCAGGCCGTCTCACGCGTCGCCCAAGGTCTACGAAGCGGTGGCTAGGGGGGCCCATGTCATGAGCCAGGTGATTGGTGCGAGCGCAATTCTAACGAAGAGTGACGGGGGTGAGAGTGCCTCTATCCTCTCTTCTTTGAGGCCTAGAGCCCCCATTGTTGCCGCGGCAGACGACCCGCGTGTTGCACGGAAGCTGCAACTCTACTGGGGCGTGCAGCCCCTATTCCTGGGGGCCTCCGTCGAAGGCACCCCCGTACAGCCGGGCATTTCCGAAGGCTGGATTGACGCAGCAAAGAGGGAAGCGCGGGAAGACGGATTTTCTAAGAGCCCCGAGGATCTTTTAGTAGTGGCGGGCCCTTCCAAAAAAGCGGATGCCCAAGCAGGGCAGGCCTCTGATGCGAACGCAGCAGAGGTGCAAACCCTCAGTGTGTGTACGGCGGGCAGCCCATAAAAATCCATGCAAGAGCAGCAAAAGAACCCGTAACAAAAACACTCGCAATAGGGGGGCAACAGTCTACCGCAGCAGCTGGAACTGAGGTTTCAACTTGTAGCCCTCAGCAGGCGAACTCGGGGAGTTAGCCAGGGACTTACGTTCTGCCGAGTATAGCGTATGCAAGTCAGTGGTACCTACAGTTTTGGCACTGGCGCGGTGGAAGGGGCCCCCTAGGGCGGCCTACACGGACCGCGGGCTAAACACTTGGGGAGATCAGAGTACCGCGAACAGCGCCGTGCTTGCTGAACGATCACTGTACTTGACGAAAGACTGGTCTTTGCCTCCCTTCCACTAGTTCGTTTCAAGCTTGTTAATAGTACTAAAGAGGCGGCTAAGCCATTAAACATGCGGAGTGGCAATTTCCATGCGGACATTTGCTGCTCGTGCTGCTGTCTTGTAGATGCTAGTGTGCGTTTGTGCACGCCCCTTCGCTGTTGTTTCGTAGCAATCGCACGAGCCTTTATACTAAATACCGCTAAACTCGATGAAAGGAAAAAGGAAGCGGGTATTCAAAATGTGAAACAATGCGACGATACAAACGGTGACCACAAATCCCCAGCTTCAGCCAGCCCTGCACAGCGCCTCCCCCCGCAGCCGACGCCCCGAAACTGCAGGAAATCAAATCCGAAATTCAGTACCCTGAAGTCAAGTTTCTCTTGAAGTGTACTTTTTAAAGGCACGCATGTAAAAGAAGCCTGTCTCCTGGCTTCCTGCTGGGTCTGAATCTTCAGCTGTACTGTCTCCTACCCCAGTAAATATTAAGAACCCTTGCTCGTACCGCTACAGCCTGGCCAAGATGCGCGTCATCTCGCCTGTCTTAGGGGCCTTTTGTCTCCTTATTTCTCCTCTCCAGGGTGTTTTGGGAGCTCCCTGCTTCGTTCGGCGCTCTGCTGCCTTTTTGGCAAACCCGGTACGCCAGAGATGTCGAGTTTCACACCGCATATCGACGAACCCCAGATGCATGTCGGCTGCCGCACAGTTTGCAAGATATATATACTGACCTCCATGGAGTGTGTGTGATGCCTTCAGGGCAGCCTGGCTCCCTCCGCTGCCTCCGCCTCCTCTTTCTCCTCCCCAGCGGCGTATTCAGGCTTGGCGCAAGGTCTACTACAGGCAGGCATACCGTCAACCACAAGAGAAGGCGATACGCGGTGCTATGCGTATCCCCTAACCTTTGGGGGGGGGCCTCGGGGAGGGGCAGAGGGGGAAGGCCGTGTGGCTGTTGTCACGGGTGCCTCCAGGGGAATCGGCCTTGCCATCGCCAAGACTTTCGCCAAGGGTGGCGTAGAGACAGTCGTGTGCGTCGCGAGAGATCAGGTCAGTTTGGATGCACGTGCTCAAGCTCTTTCCTCTCGCACATCCAAAAGTGTCTTCCGGATGAATATGAGGTCTTGGGTATATATATATATATATCACTCACTTACTCACTCACTCTCTGACACTGCAGGTTGGAGCCATCGTGTGTTAAAACGCTCTGTGGTTTGTCGTGCAGGCTGCATGCGACACGGCAGCCGCAGAATTGCGCTCTCTAGGGGCCGATTCTGTCGGCTACGGTGTTGATGTAGCGGACGGTCAGGCGGTTGCTAGCCTCTGTGAAGAGCTGCTCGCCAAATATCCACGCATTGACATTTTAGTGAACAATGCAGGCATCACCAGGGACGGGCTATTCATCAGGATGAAGGAAAAAGACTGGCAAGATGTCCTCAACACGAATCTCAACTCCGCATACTACTTCTCGCTCCCGATCATTCGGAGAATGACACAAAATAGGTAGGCGAACATGCGCAGTCCACTGTACGGAAGTACCTCTTGAGGCACTTTCGCCGTTCCTTCGGGCTTTGCTTAGGGAGGCTGCATTTCCCAAGGCGACTTTTACCTCCATCTGTAGAAGACCCACTAAGTTGTCTACCCACTGACGTAGTGCTTCTCCTCCCGATATCCCCCTCCTTCTGCAACTCGCTCACTCTTTGCATCTGCACTAGCCTCGCGGTGTCTGCTTCTCTATCCCTCTGCACGCTCCCTCCCTGCCTGCATGCGTCCTCGACTGCCTGTCTCTCCCTCTCTCTGTCTCCCTCTCTCTGTCTCCCTCTCTCTGTCTCCCTCTCCCTGTCTCTCTGTCTCTCTTTTCTGTCATTGTCAAGATGACGACTTGGAGATTTCTCAGCGTCCTTTAATATAGGCTTTCGCTGTTGACACACTATTTTCCAAAACACTTTCATGCCCTCCTCAAATGCATCCCGATCCGCCTCAGCGCGTACTAGAGGCTACGTGTTTCTCGTGCTCGTAGAGCCACTCCCTTTCTTTGCCTGGCCGTCGGCGTGCCCACCAAAACTTCCTGCAATCTCAGGCTTTCTTTGTCTCTCCCTGCAGGTTCGGTAGGATCATCAACATGGCCTCAGTCGTTGGAGTCGGGGGAAATGCAGGCCAGGCGAATTACGCGGCCTCTAAGGCGGGTCTCATCGGTTTTACAAAGTCTCTTGCCAAGGAATACGCTAACAGGGGCATCACAGTGAACGCCATCGCGCCTGGTTTTATCAAGTCTGAGATGACGGACAGAATGACAGACGCAGCTAAGGCAAGAATTCACGCAGACGCAGACTGCGGGAGGGGAGGGACGTTGACAGAGAAACTCTCAGGCGACTTCGAACTCGGGGTTTAAGCAAGAAGCACGAAGTGGCAGCCATACCTTGCGACATAGATGATGCCTACAGGCGTTTTAAGGTCTCTGGTATTTTGTGCGCAGGCAGCCACCTTGGCAAGTATTCCAGCAGCTCGCCTGGGGACCCCTCAGGAGGTAGGCCTAGCGTGCAGGGAACTGCTGGTGTAAAGATACGCATTCTGTACATGCACGCCTCAAAGGGGCAAGGCCCTCGTTCACGCATTTTTCAAGGAAGCCCACGCGCTACTGGTTGCGCTGAACGCCCTCAGCAGCAGCGGAGTTGAAATAGATTCGCAAGTTAGAACTTCAATGAGGCATGCCCTCGATGTGCCTATTCGCGGGGGCCCTCGCCTGTGCTCGCGGGTTTCTGTTTTCTTCGTGCATAGAATAGCCATTCGTGGCTGTATCAGACTTTTTTCCCCTCCCTCTTCTGTGACCTTCCGTCCCATCTATTTTGTCCAAAAACACGCTGTCACTCCGACGGGAAGCCTCGTGCCCCTCTCCCCGTCACCCCTCCTCTGTCATGCAGTCCGTCTCTGCCCCCTCCCTCCTCCGTCTGTTGACCCCTTTACGCACTTTACTTCTGTGCTTTTGTGAGGTGCTACCGATCGACGTACTTGCCCACTCATCCTCCTCCTACCTTAGCCTGGCGCGCTCTCCTCTTCAGGTTGCTGACCTTGCCGCCTTCCTCGCTTCAGACCAGGCAGCCTACATCAACGGCAAGGTCATCCCCATAGATGGGGGGATGCTGTTCGGGTCCAACTAACAACTCTACGACCAGATCTCCAAGACGGAGAAGGTCCATATCACTGAAGACACAGCCTTACGGCGTTACACCTGCGCTCACTCTACACTGAAGGAATCTAAAGGAAAAGCCTTTTTAAGGCTCCTATGTCTGTAGGCATCCCTGAAAAAATTAGACAGGGCTATCGTTTTAATATATTTCGCTCCCACGGGCCATTCACACGTCCCCCGGGTGCCCGTGGGGCCCTCTGCAGAGTTCACTTGCTTCTGGCGAAGCCTATACTCCCTTCGCAGAGGAGATCCTGTTGTTAAGAACAAACTCCTCAGAGACAGAGGAGACGAGCCACCCTCGAGTCGGGGGCACAACAGGCTCCCCCATGGCAGCCCCCCGTGTTTGAAGAAAACCCGTTTTTAAGGGCTTCCGGCCCTTTATTGAATTTGCGTGTCTCCTGCCGTGGGTTCCCTCCACCTGCCATGTACACTGGCAGCCTTAGAGCATTATCTACAACAACGGGCTAAGCTGCACTTAAAGGCTCTCACCTATACCACGCATACTCAAACAAGGTTTTGCAGAATTCTGACTGTTTGTGGTGCCCGATTGTATTTTTTGTTGCAGAAGGACATGGGGCCAGTACGGTAAAAATCACCGTGTGTGTGAGTGTGTGTGTAAATATATGTGTGTGTAAATATGTGTGTGCGGAGTATTGTGCGCAACTAGCTTCTAATGCACTAAGTGCTTAAGGGATCCAGCAACGCGCACCTTTGTTGTCCCTCTCCCGTTATGTCGGGAACTCTAAGAGGCGCCTGTCAGGGGAACCGATGGGCTCTCCGAGGAACATTCAGTAATTTATAGCAAGTTTGTATCTCGAAACTAGATTAATGTGCGTGCCTCCCTACGGAGACCTCAGATAAGGTGTAACAATTCGCGGCCGCTTCCGCGTGGCCCTTGTAAGCAAACCAACTGAGAAACGCTTGGATATCGAATATGTGCGAAGAAATTTTAGCCTGACGACGGAGGAGAGCCTCGTGTGGTGAAGCTGTTTGCGGACAGCAAGCCGGTGCGCTTCTGCATGGAGGAAGCTTATCTAGGGTTCACTCCAGAAAAGACGCCAATGAGTTGAGGCTTCTACGCAGTCAAATCTGAAGAAGAAGCCCTAGTCTCATCAGTTTCCTCCGCCTTATGGGGGCTCTCTGTCCGCTTTGTCGTTGTGGCAGAGGGTTCCCCCTCTTCTGAGAGAACTGCCGCAACCTCTTGCTTTCCCTGCTGATGCTGCGGCAGTTGTTGGGAATCTAGGGGCACTGCTGCCAGCTGGTTTTTGATGCGCAGTATTTTCTTCTGCAAGCATTCATTCTCTTGCTTGAGGGTGCTGTTTGAGAGCCGCGCAGCCTCTACCTGGTAGGAAAGATCTGAAGCGATAGAGACGCATCAGAGGGCGTGCAGCGACTTCAGCAGTCTAGACCATCCTATGTAACACCCTGTAAGCAGGGGGCGACTCAAGGCTTGGCAGGTTCCCATTGCAGATTTAAGAGAGGCAGCGCAACGGGATTCCCTTCTCCTCGAGCTGTGCCTCCTATGCTCCGGCCTCTACCCGTCTCTCGCCCCCTTTTCCTTTTGTCTGATGAGGCTTCTGTGCATGCCCACGCTTGCTGCAGCAGCCTTACCTACCTGAGAGCTCTTCTTGTAGCTGCATAATCCTCTCGACAAGTTCCGCCGATGACAAACTGCATGCAACAGAAGACAGAAAGTCCGATTTTGAGGCCCCCCGATGTGCCCTTCGTAGATAGGTGCTCAGGGATTGTCGCTTTCAGAGTTTCTAGAATGCCTCAGAGGCTGTGGAAGGCTGCTCTGGGACGAGTGATCGAGGTCTGACTTCTCAGCGGAGCACTCTGGGGCCCCTACTGGGGGCCCCCTGTCCTCAGGAGACTGAAGCGCCATAGAAAGACTCAATCGAAGAGGAATATCACCAAGAAGAGCTCCTTGCGCTCTTCGTATCAACAACTGCCCCCTGCACAGCCGACAAGGCGGCTGCAGGCAACCAGGAGGGCGACGGCGGGCACTCTGATGGTGAAGACCAGTGGATACACAAAAACCAAAGAATAAACTAAACTCAACAAGAGAGATAGATAGCCCATCAGATGGACAGACACACTACGAGACTGACAAGGCTCCCGTGTGGGAAGGGCAGCTGCTATTTGAAGGGGCCCCTCTCAAGTGTCGTGAATCACTCCAGGAATTCAGAGACCGCAAAGCACATGTGGATCCCGCAAAAAATAAAGAGCCAATCGAACCAGAAATCCATTTTGCGCTCCCTACTACTCCTCTCCGCAACAGGGGGCCCCTCTCCTGCCGCAGGAACGCCTCAGCACCAGCAGCGCGCAGAACCCTGGGGTGGCCTCCAGGGCCCCTTGACAGCCTTCATTAAGCCGAATTATTTCCTACCTTTGTTTTAAGGGGGATGGATGCTTGTATATGTGGGGCCTAGCTACCTGCCACGCTCGCTCGAATTTATCTTTTCTTCCGCCCAACACAACAACAACCCCACCCTGCTGCACGTGCTGGCAATGCGGCTGGCGCCGTGCTGCCGTTGCAGCTGCAGCCTATGCTCTGAACGCCTCTCTTTGGAGTCCAAAAACAGCTGCGGCTGCACCGGCAACGGCTGGAGCGCTCAGGATGGCCTCCTCTCCAGGAGAGGGCTTTGCGCCCACCTCCGTAGCAGACAGAACGGCAGGAACGCCCACCCCAAGCAGAGTGCACCAGACTCCTTGGGAGAATCCTCAACAAGGCAGCTTCTGTGGGGGCCGTCTTCTGTCTCGCACGCCACTGGCGAGGAGTCTTCCTCCACAGGAAGCTGCTCTCAGGCTAACCCGGAGTGCAGCCTCTCTCTCTCATAAGCGGCCAAGAGACTCCTCCTTTTCCCTATCAGCTGCTCGCGCCTTCTTCAGGAGCATCGCTGATGCTGGTACGCCTAGGCCTCCCAGCAGCTACGCAGCAGCAACTCCCCCTCCCGTAGCTGCTCATCCAGCGACATCCCTGCGCGAGGCAGCGGAGAATTTGGCAGAGGCAAGGCCAGGGATGCAGAGGGAAATTCTGTGCGACACTCAGCCCTTAGAGTTTTTACCTTCGTCGCCTTCTGATTATCGAAGTCCGTTCTCTCCCCTCAGCTGCAGCAGTCCCTACAGTGCCCCTTCCTCTTCCCAAGCGGCGGCAGTGGAAACGGGAGACACTGCCCCTGTCAAGACACAGGCGCAGTCAGTAGCTGCTCCAGGAACGCACCCGCGGGAGCGGTTGCTGCGCGACGCATGCCAGCAGCAGCAGGAGGAGGCTTTGCAGCAACAGGAGGAGCAGCAGGAGGCTTTGCAGCAACAGGAGGAGCAGCAGGAGGCTTTGCAGCAACAGGAGGAGCAGCAGGAGGCTTTGCAGCAACAGGAGGAGCAGGAGGAGGCTTTGCAGCAACAGCAGGAGGCTTTGCAGCAACAACAGCAACGACAACAGGAGCCAGTACTGTCTTCTCCTGGGGGGGATAAAGGAGTATCCCTGCCTTCATGTTTGCAGACACCTGCTTTTGGAGGCTTTGTCTCTGAAGAAGAGAATGCCTCGCCGCACAGAAGGCCACCCTCAGCAAACCTCCTTCTGCTGCATCCAACGCCATCATCTGTAGAACGACTAGCCTCGCTGACGGCAGCAGCTGCTCATCGGGAGGTCAGTCCTCTTGCGCCTGAATTGCTTGTTTCTCGAGACACACCGGAGGAAACAGCTTCCAGCGCTGCGCATGCACTCGCCGCAGCCGCTGAAGAGAATCTGCTCAGAGCCTCTCCCGCCCAGGAGGTCTCTCGGAGAGGCTTCCGTGCACGTGCAGCCTGTGCGTCAGACGCCGCGGCTGGAAGATCTGCTTCTTCCTTCGCGTCGTCAAGCAATCGGCAGCTCCTCGGAAGGCTGCCACAAGCAGCAGAACGCACAGCGAGAGGAGAGTCTGCAGCGGTGAGGAGAACCCCCTTCCCAATGCTGCACAGCCGTCAGAACATGCAGAAGAAACTGCAGCAGCACCAAGCGGATAGAGCACCTGGTGGGGTATCTCAAGCCTCCAGAAGCGAGTTGCTGCCTACGCCGACAAAAATATCGACTGCGGAAGTGGCTGCAGCGGCAGCAGCAGCAGCAGCAAGAGCGACAGCCTATCCTCGCCTCCGGAGGTCAGTGTCTACCCCCAACCTGCCCGCTGCGGCGCTTCCTCAGCAGTATGCAGTGACGGAAACAGCAGCAGGAGTGAGAAGAGGCTTTGCGAGAGCCCCCTGGCTGCCACTCCGAAGAAGGAGCCGCTCAGCCTCCCATCTTCCAACGCTAGATTCCGCACCACTATCCTCGCCAACAACAACAGCTGGTGCAAGTCTGGCTATTGCTCCAGCAGCGTCTTCGCGAGGACGTGCGAATCTTCCCTCAGCAAGAACTGCAGCAGTTCGATCCTGGGGAGCAGGATCGGGGTGTGCCGCTCTCAAACGGCTGCCTCCTTGCGAGACGCGCCAGCTGCTCTCCCTCCGTCGCAGACGATTGAACGATTCGCCCCCAAGAGGCGTCCAGCCTCCAAGAGCTTCAGGGGCAGCAGCAGCAGCGATGCCTGGTGCTGCAAGCGGGCAAGCAGCAGCGGTGACAAGAGCAAGGCTTCCAGATGCGGCTGCTCCCGCCGAAGAAAACACAGCAGCGGAGGCTCTGCGCGGGGAAGTCTTGAAGGACCACAGCCTTGCGGAAGCACAGCCTCAGAGCAAGGCAGCAGCAAGAGCGGCAGCGTCGGAGGCAGAGGCAGAGGCAGCCACAGACTCCTCTGCAGGAGCAGCTGCTGCGTCTGCTGCTGCGCCTCGCGAGACTCCGGAAGAAGCCTTGCCCAGCCTTGCAGCCGCAGGCGGGGAGGCCTCTCCTGCTGCCGCAATGGCAACAGCCAACAACAGCACAGTCAGCAGCAGCTCGGAGCAGACACGAATGGAGTCGGAAGACTTGGAAACACAAGCGCCTCCTAGCCCGGCGAGTGGGGTGGAAGGCCTTTCTGCCGCTGGGGAACAGGAGAGATGCGAAGAAGAGTCTGCAGCATCACCAACAGGGGAGCCAGGAGCGGGCTTGCCGCCTGTTTCTGCAGCTGCAGGAAGCTCTCCTCCTGCGCAGGGAGACAGGAGGCTGCAGCAGAGACCTCTTGGGGGGCCTGAAGCAGGTGAAAAAAAGGCGCAAATGGAGGCGCGCACTCCCGAATGCTCGGCAGCAGCCGCTGCAGCAGCGGCGACTGCGAGCACAGCAGCAACGGCGAAGGAGGGGCCTAAAGCCTCGGAAGCGGAGCGCAGTTCTCCCAGCGAGAGCCCTTGGGGATGCAGCGAAAAGGCGCCTTTCAAAGCAATGCCTTGTCTTGAATCGGAAGCAGCTGCCGCGATAGCAGAAAGTCGCCCACCCCAGCCGCGGGGGAGCGGAGAACCGGAAGGGGCCCTCCCCCTGCCTCCAAGCAAGCCGCGAGAATTCCCCCTAGAAACTCCAGAAGGAGGCGCAGTAGCAGACACCTCGCATGACCTCCCCGCAACTTCCTTTCCAGAGTCTGCAGCGCAACATATCCCTCCAGAGAAAGCAGCAGGAGGCGCAGTCTTTGCTCCGCTCGCGACTAAGACTGGAGGCCCCTTCGAGACGGCGCTGTTGCGAGACGCTGGGAAGCAGATCCTGGATACGCCGCAGCAGGAGAACCCCTGCAGTTACAGCAGCCTCGATCAGATCGGCTCTAAGGAGAATTTATCAGGCAGCAGTCTCCCCCCGTGTCTCCCAGAAGAGCTGACCACTGCGCGCAGCGGTCCCCTAGAGGACGCCTTGGGAACAAAAAAAACACCACTTCCTGGAAATCCCACGATTCACAGCCTTCTCTGCAATCCTGGATGTTGTTGCTGTTGCTGCGCTTCACTGCCCCCTGCTGCGTCTGCAGCGAACAGGGGAGCAGCAGCAGGCTTGCGAGTCTTGAGGTGTGCCCGTCCTCAACTCAAGACGTACCTGAGGCAGCAGCAACTGACGCAGCAGCCGCAGTATGAACGGCTGCAACAAACGCAGACAGTAACACAAACTCTTGCGGGCTTATCACCCTCAGTGTGTCTGGCTGCTGCAGATCTGCAGCGGCAACAGCGGCAGCAGACGCGCGAAGAGCTGCTGCACAACACGCAGCAGGACCGCAAGCAGCAGCATACACGAGGCAGTCGCTGTCTCTTCGCTACAATGGCTTTGCTGCAGATAGCGTCCCTTCCATCGCCTTTGGACGCGACGGCAGAAGAAGAAGCAGCCGCACCAGTAACACCAGCAGCAGCAGACGCGTTCGCTTGTGGCAGGGGAGGAGACATTGAGGAAGCTCTGAGCCTACTCCGGAAGGCTGCGAATCACCCCTGTCTGTCTCTTGCTGCTGCCTGTTGTAGGAAGGGAGACGAAGCGAGCGCGCTTAACCTGATGCGGGGAGTCTTTTTACTTGAACTCCAGGTGTACGCGCAGCAGCAGCAGCAGCAGCAGCAGCAGCAGCAGCAGCAGCAGCAGCAGATTTGCGACAGGCCTTGGGAGGTTCTCTTTGTGCAGGAATCCCAGCAAGGAGAGAAGGGAGATCCTTTGTCTCCCCCTTCCCTGTTGCTGCTGGTTTGTTGCGCCCTCCTCTTTACGCGTGTTGTTGTTTCTCCTGTGAACTGTAACGAGGACTGCACCATGAGAAGCAGCGACAGCAGCAGGCGCGCAGCGGCGAAGCTCTTTGAGGAATTTTGCATGCAGCCTTTGCTGCAGCTGCTACTGCCGCAGGAGGGTTTGCAGCAGTTAGAAAGCGCCCTTGCCGGAGGTTCCTTCCAGCAGAGTTCGATACAGACGCTTAAGCGGGTGCTGAGGTTCCCTCCTCCGCCGTTTAATCTGCAGAGCTGCCCCTTTTGCTGCCCGCTGCAGCATCCTAAGCAGCAAGATTCACGGCATCAGGTGCCTATGGAGGCATCGCCGAATGTGCAGCGTCAGGGGGGGGCCTTACGCCAGTTCACTCTTGCCTCTCTGCTCTTGCACGCTGCATCCCTGTACATCCTAGAGGCCACTAACGGCGATTTGGAGCAGCAGCACTTGCAGCGCATGCAGTTGCTGCTGTGCGGCATTTGGGCATACACCTCGCAGGTCCCCAGGAAGGGCAATTCTGCCAGGCATCCCCAGATACGGAAGGCGGCAGAAGCAGCAGTAGCGCTGCTGAAGGGAGCAGCTTCACAAGTACCCCCGTAAGGAGGACTGCGCACTCTACAGCGACTGGAGCAAGCGGGAGCTGCTGCTTCTTTTTGACCCCCTCGTTGCCTTTCAAGGCACAGCGTAGCTCCCACACCCTTCTGCCCATAGCTCACACGCGAACGACAGTAAAATTTCTTTGGGGCCGCATGCAGGCGCACAGACTCTTGAGTTTGGCTTTTCAATGGCCACAACAAACAAAGGGCGGAGGGGAGACTGTAGGAACGCAAGCAAGCAGGCATTTTAACCGCCGCGCCTGCCGACTCCCCCTCCCCCCAACACTAAATGAAATCCCCCTCGCCCCCCAACACTAAATAAAATCCCCCTCGCCCCCCCAACACCTAACTAGAATCCCCCTCGCCCCCCAACACCTAACTAAAATCCCCCTCCCCCACACACCTAATACGGTCCTTGAGGAGTTGCTGCGTAGCACCAATCACTTCCGCGCGCGGAGGTACCGTATACATGCAAGCGTTTGCTTAAAGCCTTTTGCAAGGATGCGAGTTAATCATGCATGCCTCCGAGGGGGGCGAGGAGGCGGCCGTCTACTCTCCATTCTGGACATATCCAAATGAAAACGCGGCAGACCCCACATCAGCCCTCCGGCCGAAGATAGACGCGGCGAATAAAATCGTAGAAACAGGTGCACCCCGAAAACGCCCGATGGGGCACCTGCGTACTAACTATATGAGGGCAATTCCGTTGCAAGCACAGACTGCACTGGCAGGGGCAAGAGCACGTTCCAACGCAAGTGGTCGTCTCTAGAAGGCGTCCCCACCACTCATCGGAGCACACACACCACGCACACAAATGGCGTCCTCTGCAGCCTGTCATGTTGAGAGTGCCCCCGAACTTGTTATCTACAAAATCCACTCTACTCTGTCGGAAGCTGGGAAGGGGCCCTACAGGGCACCCCTCTAGCCTCTAAGGGGCCCTAACGCAGCCCTTAAGAGGCTTTCGATTACGAAGCTCCCCTTCTCTACGGAATGGACATACCCTAGAGGGCGTCTGCCGCATAGGGAGGAAGCGGGGAGGCCTTCTCTATAGTGTTGCTACATTCGATCGATATGCCCTAAAGCGAAATAAAATGGTGACTCCTGCTGAGGGAGTCATGAGCGCAGCCCGCTGTCTCAGTCAAGTGCCCTCATCACTGCTGCGGGAGATCGACTGACCCTTGGACTAGCCTGCGAGGCTCTCAAGGCTCCACGCTGCTGCAACTGATGAATCTGCTGCCGCAACGACGGCTGCTGCACGCTGGCTGCTGGAGCGTCGCTGCTGTTGAACTGCGGATTCGGCATCCTTTCAAAAGAATCCTCTCCCTGCTGTCCAGAGGCCCTCTCGGAATGCGCTTGTTGCTGCTGCTGCTGTTGATCGTCTTCGCCTGCCTCCCCGCCAACCCCACTTTGAGCCTCCGCAGCAGCGCCGCCAAGCGCTGCCGGTGCATGCTGGCCTCTGGGAGTTGCAGCAGTCTGCCGGTGCACAAGGGCAGAGATACGCGAACTTCCTGAGGGGGCCCCTGCTGTACCCCCCCCTATCAGCGAATGCCAGTTGAAGGCTGCCAGGGAGCTCGATACACCCTGGGGACCAACGGAGTCAATAAATCGAACGTCTGCGGAAAAGGCAAGAAACCAGCACGCAGACGCAAACATCACATGCATGCGACTGAATGCGAAGGGAAGCACAAATCCTAGCCTGAGGCCAAAAAGAGAAGACGACCTCCCGCTACGGCCTCTCCCACCGCGTGCTACCCCCGTATTTGTCACGGCTTGTGCTGCTGCTGCTGCGCTCTGCTGCCGCATTTGCGGCTCTACAGGCAGCTCCTCGCAGTCACGTAAAGGGTACCAGAGTCAAGACTCCGTTGAGAGCGCAAGCAGGCAGGCAAGATCCTCCATTGGCGGCGAATTGAAATCGAAATGACAGTACGACCAACCTTAAGACATACAAACAGTCGAACAGGCACACACAATGTAACAGGTGCGAGAACCCGCTTAAAGAGATGTGTAAGCCACACTCACACGCACACACACACACGATAAGGCCGTACCAGCCATGGAAAGATTTGTCTCGCAATTGCCACGGGGTGATCCAACAGGGGACCCCAGAAAGACACTCTCAGTACACCCCCTTCCTTTCTCAAGACAGGAGCAGGGGCTGCGTGCGTCGTATGTATATCTACATATATCTATATATCTATCTATTTAAATATATAGTGAGAGAGAAGGGCAAGAAAGAGAAAGATAGAGATGGTGATCCGCTTCGTGCAACACAGTGCCAACCCAACCGAGAGGAGCACAGAGCTAGAGCAACAGGGTCGTTTAAGAGTGTGGGAAGCAGACAGCGGGCGCAGACAGAAGGGCACAACCGGGTGGAGAGCGTGCTTGAGCTGTGTTTAGGAGATGCATGCGCTGAGAAGGCGGAGTAATACGACACTTGGCCACTGACAATTAAAAGCACAGAAAGGCCAAACGGCAGGTGAAGGGCGCCTGTCTACTGCCTACTTGGAAGGAAACCCCGCTAATCCATCTCTCGAGTTTAAGGGGCCTCTTCAACTCCACTAAGGTTCCGAACTTGCTTCTTTGGTCCTCCAGGAAAAACGCCCCCTATACACGCGCATTACGACAGAGCAGTTTCTGCGAATACGTCTGTGAGCGAGCAGCAGTGCTGCCTCTGCCTCAAAAGATCGCCACACAAGAAGCAGCATTCCTACCCTAAACCCTTAACCCGCTCCTTTGAACGCTACCTGCTGGTGCCTGATGATGGCGTGAAATCTGGAAACAGAGATGTCGCTGAGGCGAACGTCAGAGTCGTGCCCTCTCCCCAGCCGAGCAACACGTCGGTTCGACAGAGACACGACATGAAGGCCTCTGACACGGGCAGTCGCACCTGCAGGCGCCGGCTGCGTTGTGCGAGGCTCTGAAAAAGCCGCCCCAAAACACACCAAAAAACTGCATGCAAAAAGTGCTCAACGGAGAAACTCGTGAAGAGAGGACACAAAAACATGCACTGCCGATAACAAGCCCACGCTTTCAACAAAAAACTGCATGCAAAAAGTGTTCAACGGACAAACTCGTCAAGAGAGGGCAAAAACAACATGCACTGCCGATGACTAGCCCACGCCTTCAACAAAAAGCTGCATGCAAAAAGTGCTCAACGGACAAACTCGTGAGGAGATGGCACAAAACCATGCACTGCCGATGACTAGCCCACGCCTTCAACAAAAAGCTGCATGCAAAAAGTGCTCAACGGACAAACTCGTGAGGAGATGGCACAAAACCATGCACTGCCAATGACAACCCTTTGTGTTCAACCAAAAATTGCATGCAAAAGTGGTTTGAAGCCGAACGCTTTTGCGATAACACAACCCGCATCGTCGCTAAAAGGCGCAGTGGTGACATACGTACTCCCCCCTTCCCCCCGCCCCTCTCCCCGTCCTTTCCTTTTCGCCAATTGCCCAGCAGCCAACCCTTCCCTCTACGCGTTGTCTAGTCGCTAGTCGCGTAGCCTTCCACAGTGCACCAGCGTCTAGCCAGAGAAACATCCCCCAACTAAACATCCATGAACACTCCCAACAGCATATACACATACATATAGGCCTACCTGCCGCACAACACCACAGCACGCGCGGTGAAGGAAAAGACTTACCAAGAATGAAGTAGGGGTACTGGGGTCTTGGTATTGCGAAAAGTTCGATCACCTTCCTGTTGGCTTCCACAAGAGAGGGATAGGGTGCCTTGCAGAGCTCACCTACACCGGCAAAGAGCACCACCATCACACTACCACCACTAGCCTAGGGGGAACGTCTCAGCAGCAGCAGGAGCGAACGCAACAGAATCCAACAGCTATTATTAGCATGGCTAGATAGCTCAGCTTCAGGCGGCTGCCTCACAGTCCAAAGAGCGCAGGAAGTAGCCGACTGTCGAGCCATCCTGAAGAAGAATGCAGCAACGGCTCATACCACAACAAGGCACGATCTCTGACTCTTGTGCCCCACTACTTTATACGTCGATGGCCTACCAGTAAGCCCCCCTTTCCCCGAAGCTGCGCCAGCCTGCAACAAAGCACCTTTCGAGGCGCCTCAACAGGCAGCTTACATTGCGAATATTGAGGCGGCCCTCCATCCAGGTACGAAGACACTGCAGATGCACGAACTGCATACTTCCTGTGGAGAAAGAGAGACAGCAGCAGCAGCAGCCGCAGCCAGCAGCACATGCTCTACCCCCAACGCTCTGGCCACGTCTCTGACTAGCGGGGAGAACGGTTTGAGATGCTATCGGCCATGCCTACGACCATGAAGCTCTCCGTCTGCAGTACATGATACGACACCCGCCTACATCAATAAGGGCATCGGAGTATGCCACTTATTCCGACTTCCAATTTAGCACAGCCTACGAGGAGGTCCACCGCCCCCCGCGGGGCCGGCGCAAGTGCCTAGTGTGTCAAAATTAAATCATAAATAGGCATCAGCAGTTAAATATCTATATGCATATATTGATACGCGATTTGACTGCCCACCTTTGCATCGGCAAGGAGCTACGAGAGGGTTGGCGTCAGGATCCTCATCCTCAGCGGCTTCGCAGAGGCAAATGCGGCAAGCGGGACGCGAGAAGAGACTGCTGCAGCCGCATTAACAAGGCGCATGCGTTTCAGAACCCCCCATACACGAGAGAATCAACGGGCGAAAGCAGCACTTCCAGCGACGCGCATGAGGAAGAGGCGCATGCACAGCCGTGGGGGACGGGGGAACGTCGGGTCGCCAAAGCGGCCAGGCATGCACTATTTTTTTAAAAAAATTATATATATATATATATAACACCCCCCTGCCCGTTCCATCAGCCTTACCCCGCCTCCCAAACACCAACTGCAGCGAGCAAAAGGAAAACAACAACACCAACAATTACAACAATTACAGGAGCAGTAGCAGCAGCAGCGCAAAGGCCAGCACAAAAAGCCTTTTGAAGTGCTGATAGTGGCGCGATGCGCTTGCTGGAGTTTGAGCTGTAGGGTTCTGCCTAACCTTCTGCTCGCTCGTGCATCAGCAGCGCTGAGAGGGCGAATACTCATCGAAGCAGCGCCTACCGCAAAAACCAGCCCGCACATACATACACACACACACAGGTGTTGTGGCAGTATTGCAATGCGCGAAGAGAGAGAAAGAAAAAAGGTCCCAAGCAGCAGATGACAAAACCCCCCAAAGCACATTGCCGCATACCAACCCAAGAAAAAACGAGTCGCAAAACTGCAACGGTCCAGCCTCCGAACGACCGTTTTTGCCTTTTCCAAAACAAACTTGCGGCAGCCAGCGGTGCTGGTGGTCGTGGAAGGCTGGCTCACCATCAAACGAATGACTAGCTGATTCACCCCCCTCATAGAAGAGCTCCGCCCCTGCACCCGATCCCTTCGGCGTGAGGAGACAGCCTTCAGAAACGCATCGCGAAAGAGGCCCTGCCAGGGCTGCTCGGCTGCCTGCTGCTGCAGCTGCTGCAGCAACTGCCCTTAGCGGCGACCCCGGGGGGAGTGCAGCAGCAGCAGCAGCAGCAGCAGCAGCTGCTGCTGCTGCTGCTGCTGCTTGTGTCGCAACGGGGGAAGAGCCGAAGGCGTCTCTGCTGGGCATTGCCGCGTAGACTGACTGCTGTTCTTCTTGAGGGGGAGGAGTGGCACAAGGCCCTGAGGCAGCAACTGCAGCAAGGGCTGCTGCTGCTGCTGCTGCTCCTTCTGCTGCTGCTGCTGCTGCCGCCGCCGCCGCCGCTGCACCGTCCTCCTCCGCTGCCCCCATCGCCACAGCCTCCTCCTGAGAGACTCCCCCCTCTCCAAATTCAAAGCCCATGTCTACCGCTGCTGCTGCCACAGCTGCACTCTCAGGCTCAGGAGCAACCGTCTCGCAGTCATCCGCATCCCCCAGGTGAGGACGCTGCCTGCAATCGGACAGGCAGCAGCGAATAAAGTGCAGCAAATGCACAACGCATGTCTCAGCAGTATGAAGCGCATGAGATGCAGCACAAGCATCCACCAACACCAACCAGAAAAAACAACTCCCCCCAAACCCTCCTCGACTTTTACCTACAGACGGACTTTCCACTAGAAAAACATACGTATTCAGGCTTATTCCGCATTCTGCATTTGTACACCGGTATACCAACGGACGCCCGTGTGGGGCCAGCTGAAGAAAAGCCCGTTAAGATCTGTGTTGCCTTACAAACCCATGGCTGGCTGTGTGGGTGCGTTGGATGCAGCTGCGTGTAATATGGGCGTGTGCAGGTATACCTGGCAGTTGCTAAGAGTGCCTGCTGCTGGTTAAGAACGGCCTCCTTCACCTTGAGTCTGAATCTCCCCAGCTTCAGAACGTCACCCTCTGAGAGACGGACTCCCCCGCAGTCTCGTAGACTCCGAACCACCAGCCACACCTTATCGGACTGCAGCAACGTATCCACACGTTCACCCCCCATGCACATTGGATAGACGCAGCAATAGGCTCGCTCCCTTCCGAAGCGTACTGCCAAGCTTCGCAGCGTCTGCTGCTGTAGCGTGAGCTGGCGAAGCCATGGCGAACAGTGAAGGTCTCACCTCGGGCTGAGCACTCAAGCCTCCTCCCCTCGACACAGCACCTCTTGCTGCTGGTAGCGATGCTCTTGCTGCTGACGCTGGGGGGGGTGCAGCAGGAGCACTAGCAGGAGCAGCAGGAGCAGCAGGAGCACCCGCGGGAGCAGGAGAAGGAGCACTTGCAGGAGCTGGAATTCCTAGAGACGCTGCTGCTGCTGCAGGGAGAGGGGCGTTGACGCCTTGGGGTGTTGCAGTGTCTCGTGGTGTATCGGTTTCTGGAACTGTATTTCCTGCAGGGAGTGTGGCTGCTCCTGCTCCTGCTGCTGCTGCCTCTGCTCCTCCTTCTGCTGCTCCTCTTGCTCCTCCTTCTGCTGCTCCTCCTGCTCCTTCTGCCTCTGCTCCTCCTGCTCCTGCTCCTTCTGCTCCTCCTGCTCCTGCTCCTTCTGCTCCTTCTGTTGCTGCTCCGTCCTGCTGCTCGCGTTCTAGGTGCCTCGCAGCCGCTGTAGCCGTTGCTCCTGCGTTGTCTGCGTAAATGTCAGCGACGGAAGCATCTCGCAAGCCCCCGTCGGGAGACTGCACAAGATGCTGATCTTGGTGCTCTTGCTGCTGTCTCGGTACAGGGGTAGCGGCATCCGACGTGCCAACAGCAGCACTCGCAGTCGCTGCAGCGGGAGAACTGACGGCTGGAGGGGGCAAGACGCAGTAGGCACCGTCTATCCAAGCGATCCTCAGGAGAGCCCTCGCTTCCAAGCCGTCGTGATGTCTGTTGCTCTGCAGCAGTTCGGCAGCCTCCTCATCCGCACAAACCGATACCTCGCTGCCGACGCGCATGCAGCAGTATGCGTCCCCTATGCCCGAAAAACGCAACACACCCCACAAGCAGCAGCATGGAGACAACGGGGGAGAGGCCTGAGAGTCAGAGACGGCGCCATCAGACGTGCAGATTCCTCTAGTCGCTGACTTCAGGCAACCGGAAGGCATGCCCCCCTCCTCCCCCCTACGACACCAAAAATATGCACGAACGGCGACGAAAAGGAGACCACGTGGGCAGCGACACACGCCCGCACACACACACTGCACAGACTCCATAGAGTCAGCAAGCCAACACGCCACGCAAGACTGCCCAAAGGCGGCGAAAAAGTGCTATAAACGTAAAAGGCATGAAGAGCGGGGGCGGCCTGCACGTCAGACAGTGCACATAAAGACACTGCCCGTCAGACAGTGCACATAAAGACACTGCACCTCAGACACCGCATGCAAAGAGGAGAGGAAGCGCAAACCCTCGTAGGAGCCTAGACCCCCTGAAGTAGCGGTAGAGAGGGCAATAATAGAGGTCAGCCCACGCGCAGAAGCAACTGCAGAAGCTGCCTCAGCACAGTCAGAGACAGTGGCAGAACCGCAGCAAAGTCTCCGTTACGGTTGCAGCACGTGGCTGTTCCTCCCGAGCATCCCCCGAACCCCCCAACCCCTCCCTGCACATGCCAACCCAATCTAATCCAATCCGATCCATGAAAGCCCAAAGATTTTCCCCCTTCCCCTAGGGCAAGAGCTGCAACGCCCGCAGAAACATCGCCAGACAGGTTCCGCATACTCACGCATGCAACTGATCCTATATGTCTTCTTGGCGACGTTCCTCGACTCGTAGTCAAACAGCCCGTGGCTATCGCTTGCCCATGTCGTGCAATTGATGTACATGGAATACGCCCTTGCCTTAGAGGTAACCCCCGAAGGACCCCCTTGGGTGCCTCCGCCGTCTGTGCTGGATGTCTGAGTCACAGGGGAAGGCCTTCCCTTTGGCGCGCTCCTCGAGACACTGCTGCTGCCGAGAGCGATGGTGACAGGGTGCTGCCGTTGCTGCTGCTGCTGCTCGGGAGACTCCCCCTGCTCCAGAAGCGGCACGATAAACGACGCTGGTACGACACCAGGGCTTCCGAAGGCTGCATTTCTGCTGCTTCCAGAAGTGCGCGCGTGCAATAAGGAACCCCCGGCTTCCGCCATTTGGTCAGAAAGCATGAGCAGCGAGCTCTTCATACGAGAGAGGGAGAGAGAGACAGAGAGAGAGAGAGACAGAGGGAGAGACAGAGAGAAACAGAGACGCACAGATGTTGAGCACACACCGTATTGCAATAAGGGGCCCCCGCAGTTATGGTCCTATGGGGCCCCTCACAATAACGCAACGGGCGGCAAACCCTATAGGGACGGCAAACCCTATAGGGGCCCCCCTCCCCTTGGTGCTGCTACTGCGTCAACAGGGCACGCCCGAAGATTAGCTTTAGGGCCCCCGAAGCCTCCGTGGGGACCCCGGAGAAAACAACTAAAGCCAAGGAACACTCAGAGTGGCATGACCATCTGCCCGCATGTACATGCGGGCAGATCGCTGCCGGGTAGCCTGGGTGAAGCACCTCCAGGAGAGATCTAAATCGGCCTTCCGCGCCTGCTGAGCTAAAGATATGAGCGTTAAGAATGACGACGGGGGCCCCGGGGGCCCTTGGGCTCCGGAAAGAACCAGCAACTGCGTAACGGGGGGAGCCTTCCAAAAAGGTGGAAGGGGCACGCCTTAGCAGCAGGACTTAGAGAGAGTCAGGCGAAGAAATAGCAAGAGAGACAGCATTAAGCACCAAAGGATTTTAATTTTAAGCTTTAGGGTTCCCGGTATAGGTCTGACAAGCAGCAGATAGACGCGATGCATCTGGCCCGGTGGACTGGCTAAGCGGAGAGGCGGCCGCGGGCATCAAACCCCAGTCCCTACACCCATCTTCACACTGCTTGATTTATTTTGATATTTCTCTAGTGGTGTTCCTTCAACACTGAATGACAATCAACACGAAGCTCCCCCTGTCCTCCCTTCTGCACACTGGGCTGTCTGGTCGCCGCAACTCGAAGCTCAATTCTCCAAGCGTAAAACGTATGCCCTGAATATGCTTCAGTGTGCACTGCTCTGCTCCCTCCTGAACTTTTAACTGGACCCAGTCAGAAGACAGACCCCACAAACCACTTAAGGTTAAGCCCTTGCCCACTGAACAGGCAGGCAACAGGACACTCTCTGCACCGTACATGTACCATCGGACAGACCCAGAGAGTCGTGCCTATCAGCAGCATGATTCTTAGAACAGGTGCACGCAGCTAGAATACTGTCAAGCAGCCCTTGAGAGGCCTGGCTGTGCAACATGGACCGTGTTTTCGGCGAGGCTGCACCCCGTGTTCAAAAACACAGCGCATGATCGTAGCAATCGAAGCATACTGAAGCTCTTTTTACTGCACTAGCTATACGCCCTTAAAGCTAAGAAAGAACCGACCACTTAGGTATGCCGTTCGCATGGGTTTGTTCTTGCGAGGTGGTCTTGGCCCTTGCCCGTGTGCCCGAGGCGGGATACAACTAGACGGCATAGAGGGCAAGCAATGCCAACCATAGAAACTGCTTTCCCTCGTGCGGAAGCCCTAAAAGGTCAGAGCAGAGAGACGGGGGTGGGGCCTCTTGAGTAAAGTCAACAAATTCCCACGAAGCTTTGCATTGCGTTTGGCGCCAACGACCTCCCTACAGAGACACTTAACAAAGCGCTACACTGTCGTTCTATACAGAAATCTTTTTAACACAACAAGCAGAATCAATAACAACCCAGCTTTACACGCAGTTCTTAAATAGATCTGAGCTAAAGGTGCTCTATCTAGTGGAGTTTGTCATGCTCAGTCCAAGCCCTACGTAGAGACCCCCTCTTAACTCCACACTCAACATAAACTCCATGGTCAGTAATTAAATCTTCATTAAAATGTTCCCCCCCTTCCGTTGCCCCCGTATCTGATACTCTCCGATATGACGTCGCAGGCACAGCTAAGATGCGTCCTAGATGCACCCTCTAGGTACTTCAAACATTCACAGCTAATTGCACATAGCACCAAATGCACACACATTGAACTATACGCCTTCTTATATTGATCTAACAGTACTCTAAACTAAGCAATGTATACGATCGGAAAATCCGAAAGTCAGTTCTGTACCAACTCTTTAGTTAGGAATAACTATTGTAGTACATGGTACTTCAGTGCTGTACAGCCCACTAATGGCTTACAACTCTGGCAGCATTTAACCATGGTCTGTTCGTGCATATTTTTATTGAAGCGCACTTTTAGCTGGAACACAAGAAAACAATGTTGTGTGCGTGTGCGTTAGAGGCATGTGCAACGAGCTATGAATACTCGGTGGGTGCTTAGAAGGTGCAGCAAAGCACACTCTAGCTGCCGCCCTACCCTCAGGTTGGTAAAGCTGGAAGCGCTATTCAGAAGAGCGGAAGGCCTTCTCAGGTGCGCTAAATACCTTTCTACTCAGTTTGTATTGGTGTTGCAGTAAAGAGCCTTCCCCTAAGACCTTCACTGGAGCGATACAGTTGGTTGCACCTTGTGGTTCAGTGCAGCAGTTCCCCGCTCATCCAGTGGCTCCAGATAAAGTGGGATATCCAGTTTCCTAGCACCAGTTGTCAGAATTTCATAACGTCATTTAGGCAACTCAACAATTTGATTTTCGCAACAGTACGCGTAAAGTCTCTGGCAATGAGAGGGGAAGGTGTCGCAACGCCTGTTGGGGCAGCAGAGCCCGACTTGCAAGCTCGTTTGAGCGCAGTAGAACCCCCGTTTATGGCCCTGAAATATTCCTTGCCCGAACAAGTTTGTGTGGATGCGTGTAAGGGGCTATGCCAATCAGATGACTAGGAGCGCCTTTAGGACAAGCAAGAAATTAAAGCTTTCAGCAGCCAGTTGGAGATGTATTTCGCTATGTAGCCCCCATGTGAAGAGCACATAGTATTCCTTGTGTCATGCTTATCAAGGTGAAAACATATCAGTGGTAGACTTATGCATATAGAGGAAGTCACCTAGCTGCAGGAGGTTTAGTACGGTTCAAGCTCCAATACAACCTGGGACTTTTAGGTTTTGCCGGGGTCAACTTAGCAGGAAGCTATGGGAGAATTTCAGAAAATCCAATGAGCGGAAGTGCCCAGTAGACTGCTATCGAGAAATATGGAACGTATGTTCTTGACAGCCACACCGTCGAAGAACAACCGCCTTATGAGTGGCTTACATTAGGTCTTTCAAAAGTTTCTTGGCAAGTGGTCGCAGGTTAGGCAGATACTTAGAAAAAATAGAGCCGGTTGGTGGGCTTTCGCAAAAGGATGGACTACTTGAGATATTTGTAGCAAATGAGTACAATTGCTACATCTTCGGTTGGAAGCAAAACCAAAGTCGAGATGCAGAACATATGGATAGCGGGGATATGCGAGCAGGCCTCCTACCCTCCAGTCTAATGCAAACAAAAAGAGAAAGGCAGAGGGAATCCATGCCCCTGAGCAGCCCTGGACAGTCAGCCTACAGTACACCTTTTCTATTATGGGGAACATGGGCATATAATCTGGACCTAAAAACGCAAACAGAAGTGCCAAAGAGCTTGAACAGCAGGAGTTGGCATGAGGCCCTCAGGCTGCTTGGAGAGCAAAGCAGGCGCATTAGGGAAACGGAAAGCCCCAAAGGGACAAGGGCTTCACAAAACAGAGAATCACAGTTGGAAACCCATTACTTGTCGAGTTCGCGCGGCTAAAAATTCACCTCAATGGTTAAGCGCATCTAGCACTACATGGCACTGGTAAGGGACCTTCTGCCAGAGAATATGGTGCATAAGTGGAGTTTTCTTATTCGCTTGTTAGCGCAGTCTCTAAGTCTCACATTCGCTGAAGCGCGGCAGAATGCAAGCATTGGGAAAGCTACGTTAGTTAAATGCTGTTTAGCATTGGAATGGAATGGTATGAACATGGTGCGTGGGTCCTGTGCTGGACCCGTTCACCGTGACTAAATCCCAAGTATGCCATGGGAGGCCAAGGAAAGGAGCGTGTGCGGGCACAGCGGCGCGCTGTGGAAGTCGCTCTTGCGGAAAGCTCTGGGAAAAGCGTGTCCTGGTCTTTTCAACAATGCTTATTTCCTCTACGGTGAACGGGTTGAAATCGGTAGCTCAACGTGGGGACGCAGACTCTACAGGCGGGCAGCTCAGCGGCGCAGTAACAGAAGATTATTCCGAGTGTGCATGCCGTCCTAAGAACTCTGCATCCGACATTTTATTCCATACTTTGATTGACACAGAGGCAACGGGGCACTAGATATGATAAATTCTTAAAATGGAAACAGTAAATATGCTGAATTTTGACGAGCTGCTTGCAGGCTGGGGAACTAGGGGTGGGCAGCATATGTTTTGAGGTAATCCCTGATCCAGCTATCCGAAGACCCCCAGCACCAAGGGGACAACGAGCAACAAGCAGATGTTCTGTTGATAAGAAGCAGTGCATGAGTCGACCAGCGCATGAGTGTATAACCCGAGGTTGGTGCCACAAAAGCGGAATAGTCGTCTATGCGTAGTAGTTCTAACCCCCTGAACATCATGACTGCGCAGCATTAGTTCCTGATGCCCTGCTTTGGCGAATCACTTTGCGAGATACGCGGATCGACATTCGTTCCAACTTTTGACTTAACAAACGCAAGTTTGCACATTCTCATTCAGCCAGTTGATGGGTACAAAGCGGCCTGTCGCGCTACCACACACAAGCTCGAGTATACATGTTTGTCGCTTAGAGTTGTCAACGACCCAGCTAAAGGGCAGCAGCGAGATAACTTAGATATTGTCAGTCCATCAAGAGGTGATGGAAGGCTGTCCACACTGGCGACTTCTCAGTCAGTCCTAGGAACGGAGGATCATTTGCAGGTGTTGGCAGATGCGGGAGGATTCGCCACTCTGTTTGGTCCACCACGCTACTCGCTATATGCGGTACACCTTGCGTTGTTTGATATACTTTTTTTCCCTGCCCGTGGCCTTTACGATACAGCTGCCTGCATCATTGCTGGAGTGCTCCATGCACACGAATTCACATGCAAGCAGCCTAAGTCAGTGAGTCTCTAAATTATACGTCATCCGCCTTTAGGACACTTGTAATCGACAATCCTGCATCCATTCGTTAGACAGTTCTCCATAAGGCGCGAAGTCATTTCTCAATAACTGTGCATTCCATTTCCCTACACACGATTGGCTTGTCCAGTGTGTCTCACAGCAGGGGGCTCACACAGTCTAACGCTTTGACAACAGTAAACTATGGCGCAGCAGGGGTCGTGTTGGTGTGGCCCCTTGCTCAGTTTGGGCACGTGTATGTCCTTCTTGGTGTCGATTTCATTTCGGCAGTTAAAGCACACATTTATATCTATCATTTGCAATGTTTTCGTGGTTTTGCCTATCTGGATTCGCCGGGAGCTTTTATAGCGGTCTTTCAGGCAGGTGCTCTCGACGATCAAGTAGGTGAAGCGATGGCAGGCTTTTCTAGATGGGGACGGGGAAAGATGTACGGGCTAAGCTGCACTTAAACACTGTCTACAAAAATAGGTATTTTCAGACAAGAACTAATGAAGAACTGACGAATTGGTTTATCTGGCAGGAAACTTTTCAGTGTTGCAAAATATTGTCGGCTGGGAACACGAATGCTCAATGTTTTATCGGTAGGTGCTGCATGCTATGTGGAACTAGCTGTGAAAGCCTGGAGGGTGTTGAGCGTGCGACAAGGCGCACACTAGCTGTCCCTTTCTTCTCACGCCAGATAGTCTGAGCGATATCGGGCAGGTGAAGGAGTTTTTATGGAAGAAAACAGCTGTCACCAAGTTTCCCCTGGTGCTGGACTGAAGTTCGTCCACCCGAAACCATAGATGGAGCGTCCCGACTACACTAGTTATATTCATCTAAGGATCGGTAAAGAACCGACTAGTTGGCATGGTCGCTCGTAAATGCCATTCACTGCAGGGTAGCGCGAGCTTAATATTATAAGAATCAATGTTGCACGCCAGTGCCGTAGATGATGTGTGCTCCAACTTGTAACTTTTGGGAGTGCATAAGGGAGTACAGCAGCGTTCATCGAAGCTGGACGTCTGCCCTCTTGCCGTAACTGTGTGGGGCGAGGGTACGAAAATGGAGAGAGCCTTAGAAGGAACACCCATTAGCTTTCTATGAGGCTTTTGACTCGGTTTGTGCTCAACTCTCCATATATGGTCTCCGGAGGGACACAATATTTCAGACACATTTAAAAGCTTTAAAGCTACCGAGCGTTACTCCGGAAGAGCTCCTTGCAGTCCCTGCCTCCAACAACATTCCGAATCAAGAGGCGAGCGATAGGTAGGATGCGCGTTTTGTACCCTTTTAGCACCGAGCAGACAGCTAGCTACACATTAAATGTACCGCGCGCGTGCGCATGAAAACACACACACACACAATAGCTTCTTATCGTACTGAGCTAGCCGCAACACATAAGGTATTCAAAAGGCCCACTGCCAGGCAATGCTAATCCTTAATAAGACCTATGTGGTACAATACGAAGTGCTCCAGGGGTGCGAAGCCTGCTGCAGGGGCCTCGCTCCTACGTAGGAACCCGTAGGAATGTAACCCAGGACTCCTTATTTATACAATCCACGGTATGGAAGAGTGACTACTAGAGAGTTTGGTGCGTGTGCTACCGCACTTCCTCTTCCCTTACCACTGGAATGTTTCCAACACACTTTGATGCATACTGTGTGTGGCAGAGCATTGCTGCCGTTTAATCGACAACAGGAAATATGGGATAATATGGTTCACAGATTCAGATTCTGTAGCACATATTTCTGTATATGATAAGTGCTTACATTATGGAAAAGTCGCGTAAAACGCTTAGTACCGCCTTTCTCAGCCACAATCACTGAACTTCACCGTGACCTGGGATGCAACAGTGAGTAAAGCGACAATCGAAGCTCTGAGAGACTTTCGACTACCGCCGAGTATGTAAATCATCCAGAATTATGCAAAAAATAGCTGGAACATGTTCCATGAGGACAACGGACGGATGATGACCACTGCACCAGGTCAGTGTGAGTGCCCATAGACACGCGCCTCTGTGCGTTGTTGATGCCTTCATCCCTGTCACCACTTCTTACTGCTTCCTCTCACTACCGCCTATTTTGCATCATTTATCCTCTTATTTCAGGTTTCTGGGGAGATTCCAAGCCTGTACAGCCTTGAAGTGAGCGTTTTGAAACCCTAACGTGTCGCCCAGCTGTCGCGACTGTCACGTGGTCCTTCCACTACTTCTTGCGAGGATGTCGTACAATCCCTCTTACGGCGGCCAGTTTCGGGGCCTTCAAGGTGCGTAAGTCAGAGACAAGCGCACCCAGGCTCTATATCCCCGTTGAATTCGATTTTGAATGCCTACAGCGAGCCCTCCCCTACATGACAGTGCACTGCGCACTGCGACTCGTTTTCTCCAGACTATAATTTTACGAATAAAATCTGTTTGTGTATGCCCTTCAGCTGCGTGTCAGAAGGGCGCAGCCGGGGGTGAAAGTAAAGGCCAGTGGAAAGCATCCGGTAGTGCAACTAAATCCACAAGCCCAGGCGGCGGCAATGGAAGCGATTCAAATGAACCTGGGGAAAAGGTTATTGTCACCATCGGTGGCCTTAAGTAAGCAAAATGGCAAGGAAGGGCATTGGTTAATACCCGCACTACAAAAATGTGATTGCGCCTGCCTGGCCCAATGATCATGTTTAAGAGTGATAGGGCTTGCTATTTTGTGTAGGAACCCCGAAACTAGAAACTTGAGTATTCTGCATTCACCTTCCTCACCATTTGTGCGCTACACACACACATAGTCCAGCTGTCTCAACAAGGTAAATGGTGGTCCCCACTTGCAGGCAAGTGAAGCTGGAGGCTGTCAAGGAAGAAGATGAAAGGTACTTCATTGTCGTGGGACTCTTTGAAGGCGATGACCTTAACACGGTAAGAAATCTCATCCATAGACTTTAAACCTTTTTACTTAAAGCTAAGAGCCGTTTGTGTGTTTGACCGTTTGCTCATTGGGGCAGTCGTTGCTCATTACGCTTTTGAGCAGGTTGTAAACCACACGCGCAACCGCACAAATGCGGTAAAAGGACAGCTGGTTGCGGGTAAATACATGTGCGCATTCAATGGCGAGAAGCTGGTTCTTCCTATCGCAGATCCTTCAAAGCGCTTCATTCTGTATCTTTGCGTGGTCACTATAGCAAACTGCACCGAGGGGGACAAAACGTTCAAAGATGTTTCACTCATGGGAGTTGGTTTCTCTCAAGGCTTTGAGGTCAATGTCTGCAAGGTATGTGCACGAATCGTTGGACTTTGGGCTGTAGGGTGCACACTTTTCTGTTGACACTTGTTGGGGCACTTGGTTTGCTGAGGGTCTTTCAGGATTATGGAGGTGACGAGACTTGCATGCTTTCCCTTTCTTCTCTTCAGACTATTATAAGGCCTATTGCTGAATGCTTTTGCAGAAATATCACCACATTACTGCCGAATTACGTCCAGTCGAGGGCGGCGACCCCAGCATTAACCCCGGTACGTGCTCTGCCCGCACTGTGAATTATGCGTGTGTGAACTGTTGCCAGCACTATCTTCATAATGTATGGATCGAGGCAGACTACACGGAAGTGCAATTCTGTGATGCGTCAACGCTGCAGGCAAGATTGAAGTTTCGATTGATGTGTGCAAGTCGGATAAGGGAGAACCTGTTCTTGCGGACATGGAAGAAAAGTACAGCCAATTTATCCCCTTTACGTGCAATCCTTGCACCTGTAAATGACGCTTGCCTGCGTACAACACCTATACGCGTGCCGTTCTATCCTTCGTTTCCTGTGCAGCATCATGGTGCAGTTCCAGGTCTGAACGTGTTTTAAAGGCTGCAGGACGCTATACAGCAGATCCTACAGCCATCAGAGTGTTTTGAACCGATAATTGTCACCTACCGCAGTGTATTTACGTGTAGTTCATATGACGAAAGGAAACGGCGGAAAGAAAAATTTACGCACTGTTCTGCCCAATAAAACGTACATTTTCGCGCGAAGTAGCAGCGCGATAATGCGGTTTCACCATAAAGTTTGACCACGCGACCACCTTATGGCATTCAATTATTATTTTTCTGATCGATTGTAAGTGCATATCATTTGTGATGGATCGAAATTGAGGGGAAACCAGCGAATTTTCTTGTATGTAGGCGGATGCATCAAGGCACGCGGACCCTATATAATGTATTGTTTGTAATATTTGCATTGATCAGATAAGCTATACATCAACGTAGGTGCGTAAATCTAATATCGATGCATAGGAAGTAAAGGGAGCTTCATAAGTGAATCACATCAAAACAGAAAAAGCAAGGGCGTTTGTAGTCTCGTTCAGTAAAGTGAACTTTTGGGTTAGTGTAGAGTAGGAACCCGAAGGTCAATGTACTGTATCAGACGTTTAGGTAGGAGAATTTCGACGAATGTGCGCAATAGGGAGTAATTTCTCCGGTGCGTGAGACCTGCTTATTCACACCGTTACGAAAGCCTCTCTGCCTTCACGTACAGTGAAGAGCTGTTGCATGATGGAACAGCATATGCGGGGGAACAATAGTACAGGGAAAAGCGGTTTTGGAGATATCTGCGAACAGATTCTCTACAAGTACCAGCTGAAACTGAGTGCAATGCGCATTACCGATATTATTTAGGACATCAAATCACAGATCACGGGCCCAACAGGCCGCTGCAGAGGCTTCACAACAAGTGCAATACTCATTCATTTCGTAAATGACTGAAATAGAACCTGATCATCGGATCTTAGCTTGATGTCATGCGCACTTTCAAACAATCGTTTTCGAGGCTCCATACATAAGTATGTGTACTGCTGGTCTGAGGAGATGTAACGATTTCAGGGAACACAGAAGCTCTTGAAGGGCGGACGTCAAGAGATGGAGGCTGCCGGCGATAAGTTGTGCTCCAGTTGCCATCTATGGGTCGCACTAGGACAAAGCGGGATTAATGGTAGTGTTCTGCTAATAGAAATAGGGGCATCCACGGAGCAAATGGTTGGGATATGATGATGCGCAGCAGTGATAGATTTAATGTATCGGTTCTTGGAACGGCACTCTCGCCTAGGAAGGTCAATCTCAGCGAGTCCCGTAAAAAGACGAATTGTCGGTTCCTCCACTGCTAGCTGTCTAGAATCATGCAGCGCAACAGTAAATTACACCTACGCAAAATCGTGCTTTAGAGGTACCATAGCCCGGGATAGTATCAGTAGCAACATTAAAGATAAGGAAGACAGGACCAATAGCAACAATACGCACTATGCGGTGGCAACATGGGCGAGACCAATCACCTTGCCAGGCGTGGCTACAATGTCATGCTTATCGCCGCCCTACACAAGAATTACTTAGAATGCCCTTTATTATAGTGTAGCTATGGTAATATGCTCTAGTAAAGGGTGAGTTCGCTCGTAAGGAGGCTCTGTTCACCTACAGATTCTTCAATGTGCGGCTGATGTGGGCCCTACTCTACGCGGCCGTAGAGGAGCCCACTCCTCTCCGCTGCCCCGTGTAAAGCCACAATTTTTGTTCATATCCTCTTTGAAATATCTCATACAAGCTAAAATAAAGGAAAATTAGACTCCGGACGTACCCTAGTGTGCCTATCCTGACAGGTATCGCAGAATTTGCTAATCTGCTTGGGTCACCAAGGGCCACACACCAGAGTCTGATCGTTTCTTTCATCATCTACGTCCTCCGTTCCCTCATTCTTGATGCTTCGTCAAAAAGCCGCGTTTTTCATTTCCGATAACAGGGGACACAAAGAATGAGCCTAAATCCGTTTTAGGACTCACATCACTCCATTGCCCTGCTGGCGTGGTCGCAAGCCGAAAAGGCGAACGCATACGTTTGTGCCTTATCCTTTGAGCGATTCCACTGGAGGCCATTTCAAGTCAAAAAAATATTCATCAGACATGTAATGCATTCCAGTGGATCACGGAGGCTGCTGGCTCATAGAGCTCGACTCCGGCAAGGGAACACCACATATAAAAGACCAACCGCAGACGAAACAACTCCCCATGAGGGTCATATGTGCGTACTTTTGTTGTTATAGCCACGGGACTGTCGCATGATCGAGCAGCGCTTGATGGGCTACAAGCATCCGCAACTGCGGCATTCAGCGCCGCTATCATGATGGTTTCTCGAAGGCCCGGCAGAGCCGTGAAGGCAAAAAGCCCCTCAGCAAATATGGTGGCGCGATCACTGACACCAATACCTGCCACGACTGTGGCATCTGAAGTTGCAAGAGCAACGCGTCCGTCTGCCTCAGCAGACGCAACACCCGCAGCAGGAATACCAGCAGCATCAGTATCCACTGGGCACTCGCCCGTAGCGGCGGGGCCGGTAGCAGGACCCCGTTCAGCCTTACCCTCATGGCACATGGGGCCCATTGCCTGGTCATGGATTCCTGGAGTCTGTGGCTCTTGTGGAGCTCCCACCTCCTGCTGGACTTGCGTGAATGCAGGCCCTCCATGGCTGCCTAAGGACCCTCAGGCCCGTTTGCACTTGAGGCTGTTGTGGGGATTTTACGCATCTTCTCTTCCTAGCAGCTGTGCTTCCATGCGAGAAGCCCTGCGAGTGGGCGCCATTTCAGCCTTGAGAGCAGATGCAGCTTTGCTGTCTCTCATTTCCAGAGGTCTAGGCTTTACTGCCTTGTCCCTCTCTGCACGACGACTTGCTGAAGCCTGCGACGTTCAGGATACTGGAGGCTCCAACCCAGCCTGGGGGCTTGAACGCTCACGAGCAACTGTTGAGGAGCTCGTGAAAAGCTCGCAAGTAGATCCGGGGGAAGTACGGGCTGAAGACAAGCCGAGTCAGAGCGTAGTAGATCAGGACGCTGTGCAGCAACACCCCCAAGATCGTGGTATTTACACCCGCGAGTCAATAGAGGGGAAGACCCCAGACTCGAATTTTACGTGCGAAGTTTCCCCAGTGCAGGGTGTTGCCACCGCTCGCTCTGAAAACCATGACCGAACGTTGGCATCAACGGACACTCAAGAAGCGCCAAAGAAAGAAAGTTCGATTAACCCCACGCTCATACGTACTGAAGCCTTAGCGGGCTCAACTGCACCTGTCACAAAATCTGCAGTGCTGCAGCGTCACCTGGACAGCGGTTTGCAGCAGTCCAACCAAGAGCTTCAACAGCACCAGCAAGTAACCCAAGCACACCACGTGCAGGATCACGCAATCTTGAGCCCTTCTCCAGATTGCAACCCTGTTTTTGCGGCTCTGGCTGTCTGCCTCTCGGACCTGCATGCAGCACAATCCAAACTTGCACCTTTGTTCCAAGACGATATGGCGGCGGCTGCTGCCGCTGCTGAAGTCGTTGCTGGTCACAGTGCTGGAGACGAGGAAAAGCTGCCACAGATGATTACGCCAGAGAAGCACCAAAACCATTCGACAGTCTCCGTAGGGCTCACGCAGCGGCGGAATACTGCAGCGCCAGCAACACGTGCAAGAGAGTCCACAGCAGCAGCAGCAATATATGGGGCAGCAGCGGCAGCAGCAAGAATCATAAAGCGAATAACGGACACGGCCTGGGAGTTTCTTGCCTCATCCGTTCAATTGGCAGCTTGTGCTGCTGCTGCCTTTGTTGCATATTTCCCTCCAACTTCAGCTCTAGTGCTGCGCTTTCCCTTGCCGTCAGCAAATACCAGCTCTTGGGACACTGGAATTCAGAGATTTGTGCTATTTGGCCTCAACGAGGCAGCCACGTTTGCCGCAACAGCTTTAGCAGGCGCTCTCAAGACAGGCTATGCACTTAGTCTGGCAGTTCTTCCTCACGCCTTTATGGGGGGTTGGATGTGCTGGCCTCTGCGATCGGCAGCTGCTTTAAGAAGGGCTGCTGCAGTCGGAGTCATGCAGGCTTTCGTTGATCCGATGACTTTTTTTTGGCAGCTCCAGCGGACGGTGAAAGCAGTACAGAGAGTGGGCGTACAACGGTGGGATGCGGCCCGCCATTGCTTACGACAGCTCTTGATGTTTCTTGCCGAGGTACAGCAGCAGCTGCTACACTTTTTCATGTTGTGGAGGCTACCAGGCTCAGCCTATATTGGAACTTTAGCAGTTTCACGACGAGAGTGCTGCAGCAGAGGCGGCAGGATCAGGCACACCAACAGGAGTCGCAGCCACAGTCCTTGGGCAAGCCCTGAAGTGCTGGGGAGGCGGTCTTCGATTTCAACCTGTTGGTTGTCTCCTGTCGAGGGGTCTCCTCGTCTCTACTCTCCAGAGACATTCCTGGATCCACCGCTGCCTGACTTGAGGCTGTCTCTGTCCGAACAGCGATCGATCCAGAAGGAGCAGTCTGATCAAGAGCAGCCTTGCGGGCAAAGCCTACTGAACAATGCCCAGCACCATCCTGAGGTAAAGAAAAAAACACTGGGGCAGCAGCAAAAACTGCAGCCCCAAGGAAAGCAGAAGCAGCCGGAAAGGCTTGCCCAGCAGCTTCAGAATACAGGTTCATCCTTCACTCTCGTGTTGCAGAATCCATGCACTTCCCCCCAAGCTGTGTCGACCGCGTGCCTAGGTTCCCTCGAGTTTCCAGGGGGGCCCTCGGTTCGCAACGGGTTGGACATCCCGGGCAGGTCCTCTAGAGAGGCCTCAAAGGGTTTTCGGAGGAGCACTCCATTTAAACAGGCTACCTGTGGTGCTGCAGCAACCCGCGCTGCAGCGGCAGGCGCAGCTGCGGCTGCTGCTACCGCTTCGTGGGGGGCTGCGGCTGCAGTGCCCCCAGTGAAGCCCCCTCTGAGGCAGATACGCCATGTGTCTTTCCAAACAGGAAACGACACTCCCTCTAGCGACACACCCCGAATGAGACAAAGCTCGAATGGCTGCCTCCTGGCCCAAGCAACGGGATCTGCCATAAGGCGGCACGCCAGTGCCCATTTAGTACACTCTCAGAAGACCGCTTCACGGATAAATACTTCCCAGGAACACCGAGTCAGCTGCTTGGCAGAAACCTCTAGGCTGGCTTCACTGAGGCACACTTCACCCTCAGCAGGCACTGCAAACACGCTCCAAAGCAGATTGAGCGCGCGCCCAGTTGGCTGTGAAGAATTTCAGGAAAATCCCTTAAAGGCTTCGCACCTGGACGATTGCACTTAGCGCCTCCTGACGCATTTTCTCGAAACGACTTTTCTCCCCTAAAAGTCGTTTTGAAATATTCAATGCCCTCTGAAAATCGACCTGCTACGGCCGAACACTTCGTGGGATCTCCCTTTTAGAGGGTTGCGGTCGGGGGCATTTAAGGGTTATTGCGTCAAAGGCACTGCATATAGGAGGGTTTGTCCGTTTTGCTCCTGCTGGGCATATTTGGATACAAGCGTACACGGGATTCAATCGGTAGGGCCTGCTCTAGGTGTATAACAACACGGACTGGCTCATCGACAGGCACCCTGTCTGTTGCACTGATCCGTGCTTGCTGCAATTCTTAATTATTTCGAGCTCTACGCTGTTACAGCCAGAACGGTTCCATATAAGGGAGTACTGAGTTCATCAAGCTCTCCCCTTGAACCCAGGCTTTCCATATATATTAAGTTAGCTCTTCTTCCTGAAGCGTTGCTCTTCAAGTTGCCTTAAAGGGCTTTTTGGAGTTGGTATGAGTGTATCCCCTCGGCAGAAGGGGTGCTCGCAACTTTGGCTCGGGCCGAGCGATCCCTGTCTGCGCAACGCACGGCTTTCGGGTTTGACGATTTACGGCTTCGAACCCGGGGATCTTGATGTGCCAAATTTTCACAAGTAACATTATATGCGAAATGCTCTGACCTTTGATCCACGTAGAAGGAGCATAGGAAAACGAGTACCTTCCATCTTACCACAGATGGAAGGTGACCCCAGCCAGCGCCCAAGCTAGGGTCACTTCTGCCCCTGGCGCATTGACTTTTTCTTTTGATTTCCTCCTACTCCCTTGGCTGTTCACCTTTGCTGTTTGACTTAGATGTGTTTGATATATGGCAAGTTGCAATTAAATTAGATTTTGCTCGTTTTGTCGCTGGTCGAAAATGCTGCGCAGGGGCTCGGGTGTCCCTTTGGCCCTGGGGTCCTGGCAAGCCCCTCGTTTCTACGTCTATCAGTCTGGGGAGGTCCCAGGTGCTCCAAAGGATCTTTTGTATATAAAAGAGTCTGTGTGGGGCCCCGCTGCCACCCAGGTGGGCCCCGCGCCTGTGTTCCTCGGGAAGTATCTGGAGCTCCAGGCAAACTCAACTAACACGACTCCCTTAAAAGGCCGTAAAACGATTGAAGTGGGTGCGGGTAAGCGCAGACACACGCCGAAAGTGCTTAGTGTAAGTTTTGAGGTGTAACTGCTAAGTTCTATAGCACAAACCCTTTGGGGAATTCAAGTTGTAGAGCGCAAATCACGGAAGCATGAAGGTAGACATAAGAGTCTGGCTCTCAAAAGTCAGTTTTCAATACGCAAAATGGCCAAGCTGACTACGAGGACAGAAGCGAGTATGTGACACTTTAGGCTGCGGACTGGTTTCCATGGTTGCGGCATTGTTGGGGGCTGAGGCGCATGCCTGCGAAGAAGAGGGTCCCAGCTTGACGCTCCTACAGCACAATGTAGCGACGTTTAATTCGGAATTCTCCAAATGCCACCCGGTGTGTCCCGCTGGGCAGATATAGAATCTTACACTTCCCCAACAGCTCTGGATAACGCTGCCCCGTTGTTGAGGTCCTGGTCTAACGGATGCAGCAACAACAATAAAACCACCAAGAGCAGTCAAAATGCCAGCACACTTATATGTTGGCTCTCCAGAATTGCTGCGATGGGCGGTGCAGATCCGTGCATACAGCCTACGGAACAATGCCGAGCACAAAGGAGCATTTGACTTTGTGCTGGTCACAGACTTTTTGCACAGTCTACCTGCCCGGAGGCAGACGCTGCAATATCTCCTCGAGCTCCTCCACAATGACACGGTCGGTGTAAAGTGTAGTGAATACGGCCTCACATATGATGAACGCGCTCGCGTGTTTGTAATAGTCATGGACATGTCTTGCTGGAGGCCACAGTGGCTAAAACCAAAATCGCTAGGACCTGTATAAAATTTCAAATAGAATATGGGTTACACAATTGATGCTCTCTATAAAGCCATATTCCACTTGTTACGGTTGGCAATGCTGCCACAGCTGCACTACGTAACAGACTAAATTTGAAGAAGATGAGCCCAACAGCATAATTGCATGGCAGTCCCTTTGCCGGTTACATCTTACGCCCTCCAACAAGACGGCCATTCGGCTAGTCTCCTCCCATGTCTCAACTCGCGGGTCGCTATTTTGTTTTTGATTCAGGAGTGCATAATAGCTCATGTGTGGCGAAACATTGAGGCTGAAGAGGCCTTCCTTGAGAAGCTGGGCCAATGCCTCGTAGTTCAGCACCTCGACAACCAGCGCAGCATTCAGCAAAAATGCTCCCAGTCGCTGTTTCGCTCGATTGCAGACAGCGCAAGAGACATTCATGAGGCCACAGACCTGGTTAGACACCCCAAGAACTTGCCGCTACTTCACAACTTTCCACTCTTGGGCCAATAAAGTTTCAGGCCTAGATTGTGCATTGCCATGGTACAGCATCGGAATTGATAAGCAAAGCTTCATATGTAGTTGTAATACGCATTGATGTTTGAGAGCATAGAAGAGTTCCTAGTAAAAGACTCAGCTCGCTGTCCAAGGAAAGCAGTATGCTCTGGGCTCCTAAGTGTTGGGGTTGCCTCCAGGATGGTTCTATTGAGATCTTTTCTGTGCGACCTCACATCGAAGTCTCCTCGAATGTCTGGAGAAATGAGCTAAAACGTCTTTTACTACAGTTAGAGCAACAAGAAGCGATGCAAAAAGGTTCGAACGATGCAACAGTGCACGCCCACGACCCCCTACTTTTTGGCTTTGTCGCTAACATATCTAGCTCCTTGTCTTTTGAAGATCGTTGTTTGATGCCCCCTGTGGCTTCCCATCAGGTGCTGGAGCCGCTCACCGCGATGCATGGCGTCCCGCGGAGGAGACAGCAGCAAAAGCTACAGCAGCGGGTTGTGCTGCTGATCCTACCGTATGTCTAGCTCCAGCGAAAGGTCTATCGGAAATACGGGCAAACCAGGAAGCCAGGCACAATTTGAAGTCGTCGTTAAGTAGTTGCAGCACACTCAGTAGTGCGCGATTGGGGCGGCTAAACAGCACTCCCGCATCTGGCGCTCTCACTCCTGAGGATCAAGGGGTCCCTACGCCACTACGTCCTAAAGATGCAACTATGAGACTTGTGCTCCAGTCGACTGAGGCTTGTAGCAATGCCTCGACAGCTGTGAAGCCTGAGGCGAAATCCATGCATGCTGCAGCGCAATCCCCCCTTACTTTTAACGTATCACAGACACTTTTGCAGCTTCAGCAACAGCTACCTGGTAAAAAGCTGGAGACACCAACAGCCGTAGCAAAGGGCGCGTTGACAGCAGGTGCAGCAACATTTGAACCAGGATCTCCCGCTTCTCGAGCACAAGTGTGTCCCAACGCAGGAAGTACACTTGCGACAGAAGTAAAACACTCCGGTCCTCAGATGCGCAAAGCCCCCCGCAGGGCAGACGCTCGAGTTTCCAATGCCCCGACAGGAACTACAAAAGCCACCTCAAGGGGCACACCACCCTCCAGTCAGCTACTTGCATCCATGGGGCTTGGCAGCCCCACCCCAGGTTCCCCTATCCAAAGGTGTTCGGCAGTGGCGAGGCTGCCAGTATCCGCCGCAGCAACAAGCACCAAGTCAATTTCGGGCGGCTCTGCCCCAAAGGCATCGGGCTCTCGAGCGGCCCTTGCAGGCCTGAGGCCAGAAACGGCAAAATTACTATCACCGGCTGCATTTGCTGCACCTCCCGCAACTAACGTTACACCTAAGCCTGCGCAACCTGCTAGTCCATTAAGACCAGCAGCCACTGTAACAGGTGCACGCACGACGGTGGCGATGCCTGGAAGAGTAGCAGCAAAGCCGGTGGCTCCAAGAGCCACACCAGCAGACCGGCCACAGACGTCATTCGCAAGAAAGCCTCCTCCAGTGAAGACGGCATCACAGTCTCCCAGTACTTCAAGGGCCGCTGGTGCCTTAGCTATAGCTGTCGCTAGCAAGCATATGGGGCCGCTTCTTCCTTCTCTAGGAGCCCCGAACACAGTACCTAAGAGAGTTGTTGCGGACATGTCTCCGCCTGCTCAAGAGCAACCTGCTACTGCCGCAACGCCAGGCTATCGACAGACGCGAAAGACTACACTGGAAGACACGCGGACGGCGGCTGCGACATCACTGGCAGCGTCGCTAGAAGGGGAAAATGCTCCTTCCAAGGGGTTCTTGCTGTCTGAGGTGCAGTCCAACAGTGGGCCGCCCTCGTACATGACGGCTGATTGCAGAGGCACGCAGAGGAGGTCCTCTTGCGGTGTAGCAGTGCCAGGTAAGTTCCAGAGTCCTACAACACTTTCCCTTAAGACGTTCGCTGCTGCAGCAGGGTCCCCTAAGGCCGCTATTGCAGTGGAAACCCCTAGCGATCTCGCTGCGTCACCAAATTCCTACAAATCCCATGGGGCCTCAAGCTACACCCCGGGTGAAAAGGCAGTAGTGGCAGGACCACCTGACCAAGTTGCGGAAGCGGGGGCCCTCGGTGCACGCTTGGTGTCGCGATTCTCCAGTATTTTTAAGCGACCAGGCCGAAGCGAGAAGTGAAAAGCAAACATTGAGGGACAGCTGGCGTGCGGATATGCAAGAGCAGGAGAGATATCGTAGTTAATGCTCGGGCACCTTGGGCCCCGAAAAAGCCTTTCGGCGAAGACGTTCTGCCATTTCATTGCAACTGGGAGGCCCTACAAAGAGCCGAGTTTCCCGTAGCCTAAGCCCCCGAACGAGTCAGTAAAGCTTTCCTCTTCAAACCTAATCCATGCGCTCTCTCTCAATAGACAGAAAGGGCTCGCTTTGGCCTTTGCAGGGTTAACTGGAAATTCTGAGCAGCGGTAGTCGTTCCGCTTCTCGCCCTATGGGTTGGCCATACACCGTGTGCCAACCACCCCGCCAATCCCCTGTACTACACTCACTGCTTATCCCCTCGCCTTGCAGTTAGCCTTCTTGCTCACCAGCTCGGCCTACGTCACTTGCTTGTGACACGGACAAAAGCATGCTAAAACGGAAGCGACTCGATTCCCGCTTTCCTTTTTTTCATGCAAGGCGCTGCTGCACACGGTGCTACAAAGCAAAGGCATTAGAGAATCAGAAAAGGCTTCCAAACACAATGGCGCGGCTCTGCCGCTGCAGTAGTCGAGTTCTCCTTTTTAACGCAGCACGCGAGTGGTCTTCGCAAGGTTTCTCCCTTCCCTGCACTCTTCGTTAAAAGAGAATTTCCCTGAAACTTACCAGGGGACGTTACAGGGCCTCCTGCTGAGACCCTCCAGGCGTTCCTCCATGCCTTCCAACACGGAGCAAACAAAACTGACGCGAAGAGAAGCTCACTCGCATGGGAGAGGGTACAGATGGACGTATCGTGTCCTCTTGCGCTGTCGAGTGGAGCGTGCACCTTGGCTCTGGTGCTGCTGCTGCTCCTCCTCCTGCTGCAGCTCGAGAGGCCGACGAGGTGCGAGGGCCTCTGCTAACCGAATGTTGCAGTTTCCGATTCGAATGTTGTTGAGCTGCAAGAGGGCGCGCGTGGCATCCAAAGTAGAAGCGAACTCCAAAATGCCGAAACCCAAATGACGGCCATCTGCATGCACCGGCAGAGCGAAGCGCGCAACACGCGAAGTGGATGACGGCAGGCTAGTCAGCCGAAATACTGCGAGGCCAGTAGGCACATATGCACGGAGAGTACAAAGGTGGAAATTTCAAGCATCAGTAGCACAGGGATGATGTGCATATGCCCTAGAGCGGGCTGATAGAGCACCGGCATGATCCTGGCTAATGAAAGCTGCACGTCAGGAAATACCGAAAATCAGAATGTGTCGCTGCGGTGCCGGTTGTCACTCGAACCTTTGTTTCTTCTGAGCCGTGCAAATACAGGACCGTCGGTGATGGTCTGGAAAAGATTCTCCAGATCCGTGCCCGTGGCTCTCAAGTCTATGCCGCAGACAAACAGACGCCGACTCCCTAGGGGCCTCGTGAGGCGCTCCTGCAGCTTTGCATTCTCTCTTTCATTCTGCTGTTGCTTCAGCGGAGGCTGCTGCTGTAAGTGGGAATCATTTGAGCCAATATCCCAGAGTTTCCGAAGGACTGCAAGGGAAGGCTGCGGGGGCCTCTCTAGCTGCTGTGCCTGCTCCTGCAAGAGCAGTTTCAGGCGATCCCGCAGCAGAAGCACACGCTTGTTGTTCCTTGTGCCACTGTGTTTCCTGATAAGCTGCTTGGTCTGTCTGTACACCTGCATGGGCAATGGAAGTAAACTCGCCGGTGGCGGCCCTTTGCTGCGTTTCCGTTGGGAATGCAGTTCTCCCTCTGCTGGAAAGGGACGCAGGGGGCGTTCCCAGTATGCATCGACTTCCCCTTCGCGTTCAAGAAGCAGCCTTTGCCGTGATAACTCTAACAGGTGGCTGCTGCCGCTATCTCGAGACAGGTGCCTCACGCGCAGCTGCGGATGCAGTCTAAAACGCCCTCTCGAGAAGAGCTTGCTGCTGCTGCTGCTGACGCTGCTGCTCTGTGTGCTGCTGTAGCCACCCAAACACGGAAAGAACGGCCCAGTAAAGGAAAAAACAACACGTTCACAGCATCCCCGCCAGCTGCGGCCGTCTTCGACCCGCAACGCTGCTGTTGCTGTTAAAGGCAACTGCAACTGCAGCAAAGAGAGGCAGATCAGCAACAGCAGCGGGTGCCACAGCATCGGCTGCTGCACGTTCATCTGCCCATCAGGACGCTCCCCTCGCGAATTTCCATCACAAGCTGTACAGGTGCTCTTCGGCTTGCCGCGGCGCGAGGATACAACGGCTGCTGCCGCCGTTCTCACCGGGAGAACCTACGAAACGGCCTCCCTAGGAACAACACCTCATACCAAATTTACAGCCTTAAGTACGGTTTAGCTCATTTGTGCTGCGTTCCGGCTGAGGGCCCCCCCGGGGAGGGTTGGCAGCTCCGTGCTCGGAGGGAATACAAAGGATCCTTGCGTGTGCGCACAGGGGCCACCCCTGCAAGAAAGACTTAGCGCGACAGGCCTAATAATACCCATATTCTATCAGGATCTCCGCGAAAAGGGGGAGTGCGCAGTATTCACGGTGGCAGCCAGCGGCGGGGGGAGGAGGAGGTACCGATAGCGCTAGAAAGGGGCCCTCTGTAGGAGGCCCTCATCGAATGTGCAGCTTGAATGCTTGCTAGCTGCATTCCTCTTCGAAAAAGATATTGCTTGGCAGCTACGTGCTAGCCGCTTTGCAGCTCTGGGGTGTACAGACATCTAAGGCAGAGCTGCTCCCAGATGTCTCGACCTTCCAATGGGCCGCGCAGGGTTGCGGCGCCAGCAGCAAACGCAGTCTTTGCTGCTGCTGCCCCTACTGCTGCTGCTGCATGAGGCAGGAGGTTTCTCCGTGTCGTCGATTCCTGGGGTTTCGCCAGTCGGCTCTCTTATAGAGAGGATACCTGCGTTCAGGGGCCCCCGTAGGGTGTTTGCGCGCTCTCTTCAGTCTCAGACAGGAAATGGAGGAGTTCCTCAGGGCAGTTTGCCCAGCGGAGTCTCCCGGGTAACTGCACAGACAGGCTATTCAAGGCTTGCGGCCTCTAGCCGGCGCGGAAAGACAGAGACGGCGTCTTTGGAAGCGGCAGCAGTAAAGGCCGCATCCACAGCGGAAGAAGCAGGTACTGGGGCTAGCCACGCCACGGGAGTGTTCTCTCCCAGTCCGGCTCCAAGCGCTGCTGAGGAGATAGAAGCCGCTTTTCGGGAGGTCATAGCTGCTACCGCTACTGCTCTAGCTCCTCGATCGGCGAATGGCGGCGGCTGTACCACCAGCAGCGGCAACAGTTCTCTATCTGTGTGGCCGGAGGGCAGTACTCCCGATGCGGTGGAGACAGCCCGCGTCTCTTTCCTAACGAAAGTGGCGAACGCGTTCGGCCTAAGGGACGCCTCAGAGGCCAAAGGCGTGGTGTACGTACACCGCAGCGGCAACGGCGGCAGGGGGAAGCTGCTGGTCGACCGGCCACTGCTCTTGCGTCTTCGGGGGCAGCAACAGAAAGGCAGCTGGTCCTTGAACTTTCTCGGCACAGGGGCGATGCAGGCTTCGGTGAGGTTCGCTGCGGCCACTTCATTTGTGCTGTGTGTTCTTTCTTTCCGACCAGACCCTCTCGATGCGCTGTGTTATTCTTGGCGTTCTTTTATTCAGTTGCTGTTGGGCCTTGTTACTAAGGCTGGCATGTTGCGGCTGTCTCGGCTACTAGCTGATGCTGCGTTGGCGCTACTCATGTGTCCTCCACGCGGTCGGGTGCGAGCGCTGCCGCTGAGAAAAAGGCCGTCAAGATTGTGCTGCTGCACTCGTGGCTTTTGCTGCTGCTGCATGTGGCGGTTGGCGGTGCATTGCAGGCAACTCGAGGGACCTCTTGCGTTCTCTTTTCACGTGGGGATGGATCGGCTTGGCTTTTCGACTGCGGGGGAGGGCCCTCACCTACCCATGCTGCTTCTGTTTCGCGGAGAGAGTCGGCAACGGACACCGTTGCTGTAGAAGAAGGGCACGCAGGAGGGCTTGGCAGCAGGCTGCATCGGGCAGTAGCTCTTGCTCTCGCTGCTGAGACCATCGCGAAAAGAACGCCTGCTGCTGCTGCTGCTGCCCAACAGCGGCAGCAGCAGGAAACCAGGAGGGTGTGTTCTTCGCCCTCTTCCCCTCGCTGATTGGCTGAGGGACAGTCCCGTATGTATATATATATGCTGCATCTTTCAGCAAGCTGGGGGGCGGGTTCGCCATAGGGGTTGTCCATGCGAGCGTATCGGGTGTGCAGTGAAGACGCGAGATGCTAAGAGGTGTGGATGCTGATGGCACTCTCCCAGCTAGGGCTGCAGGTCCTGTGTGTGCATGTTCGTGTGTGTTTCTGCAGAGGCGCATGGGGGTAGTGCAGCGAGTGTTTGTAACCCATCTGCACGGTGACCACTGCCTTGGTCTTCCCGCCTTTCTCTCCCAAATCGCTCAGGACCCCGAGGAGTACGCTTGCAGTTTACCGTAAATTACTCCGAAAATCCCTGCATGCGCTGCGTTCCACCCGGGTTGTGGCTATACACTTCCTAGTGCAGCTTTTGGACGGAAACAGCGCCGCCAGCGGCAAAGGTCGTTACAGAAGCCTTGCGTGCTGCGTTTGCCCCTTCTGTATTACGCTTGACCCCCTTGCAGAGGACCCAGACATATTGAGATCGTGGGACCCGAAGGCATTCGCAGCCTCCTTCGCTGCATCCTCCACGTAAGTGGCTCTTGAGGAGGGAGTATGGGATGTAGTGCTTTGGTCCGATGTCTCAGGGCTTGCACCTCTCGAAGCTTGTTGAGCTGGAGTGGATGCTGTTGCTTCTCGCGCAGCAGGCGTCGTGCGGCGACATCGCAACTGCAAGTGATTTCAACGCTTCGCACTTTGCCACGAAGGCTCGGTGACTAGCACGCTAAGGGAACCGATTTATGCGCATGTCCGCAGGGAACAAGTGCACGTCGGCTACCTTCCTTCTCCGTCGTGGAGTTGCGGGGCATTCCGCATCTGCACCATAGGCGATCGCGGCTCCTGCGCCTCCCCACGCTGCCCCTGTGAGCTTCAGTGGAAGCTCTTTGGCAAACGATCCCAAACACTTAGGTGTATACTACTTGTGAATAATGGTGCTTGCTTCAGTGTCGATGCCTGCCTCATGGCGATAGCTGTAGCACAAAGGAGCAATAAACTAGCTGAGGTTGTTAGGGGAGCGTGCCTTGTGGGTGGCACCATGTTACAGGACAGGGTGCTAAGGGCAAGTTGATATAATGTGGCGCGGCCGCGAGAATTCCATAGGTGCACCGTGCATATAAGCGCTTGGGTGGCACGATACAACAGCAGGACCAGCTATGCCAGGTGCTGCCCTTGCAATATACTGTCGTGCTGTGGTTTCGTTTGTTTAGGGCTCCCTCGGAGGTTTCTGGGAGAGCCGATATTGAGCCGAACGCGGACGGGAGCTACACGGTTTTCGAGGATGCGGGAATCGTTGTTACAGCGGCACCAATAAGGGTAGGCGTATAACCTTGCAATCTCAACTAGACTACAAACATGCCAGGCTACCCCTTCTCGGCGTGATGGGCAATATGGGCCAATTAAGCTACAGGGGCAGCGCCTAAACACTCCTCACTTTTTGACGACAGCTTATCAGATAAAGCGCAGTGGCTAATGTAACAGGTCCGGAGGTTTAAAAGAGGTTCTGCCTGGGACTTCGGGTTTGCATCCCTGTGTGTGGACGCCGGTGCAATGCACTGCCACGCTGTGCTCAGCATCTGGTGCCATGCGTCGGGTACGTCTTGGCGGAAAAGGGGGGCAGGCCTCGACTTAGAGCTGAACTACTGGATCCCCTTATTGCCAAGAATGCTCAGCGACTTGCGGATACAAAGGAGTGGCCGCAGCTGCGAGGCGAGCCCAAGGCCGTGTACAAGGTAATAACCTTCACAAGTCACCCTTACATCTTTACCCCTTTACGGGGCACATGTAGGGGCAGGCGCTTCCGAGCTTTGCTTGTACCATGCACCAAGTTGTACCAATTAGGAATCTTGACTGCATGCGTAACATGGTTTCGGTCAGCGCGCTGTCGCATGGGGTGGAAGCAGGTGCGGAGACGCAACAGAAAGGCCGTCTTCAACAGCAGCACTATTCTGCGTTCTCCTACATTGTTCTCTGCTGCAGCTTCTGTCGGAATTGAAAAATGACGAGACGTTCAGTTTTCCCGATGGAACACTCGTGGGCTCGAAAGACATATTCTTGCATGCCGCTCACCCCCGGAAGATCTGCTTCGCCTTTGACACCTGCGACCCCTCACGGTTGTTGCCCTTTGCACAGGGTGCCGATATCGTGGTGAGCACTAGGCATAGGTTGTGGTCTGAAAAAAGTTTACACCCGCGAACAAAAACACCAGGTGTGGAGGCCCCCATCCGGCCGCTTGAGGGTATATTGGGGATCGCGAGTGGCCACTGAGAGGCTTTGTGTTGGGACTACATGCGCTTGCTGCTGCTTATGCTAGTGGTGCTGCAGGTGCACGAAGCCACAATGAGTGGTACCAAGGGAACTTCGAGCAAATCAGAGACGTTTTTAGATCCGTTGTTACCTATGGTTCAACCTAGCTCAGCGCAAGAAGCCGTTCCGGCCTGTGGCTACGGGGAACAGGACTCGCGCAGCACCACAGACCTTATGGGTCGGCAGGTGAAGACAGCGAGTGAAGCTGCTTTCGAGCGAGGCCATTCCTCTGCTGCTATGGCTGGCAGGTGCGAAACCCCAAATGCTTCAGTTATCGCTGTTTGCGTTGTGGGCTAAACAAGGTTCCCTTTCGGGCTTTGCATGATACTTCTTTGTCTGAATGTGAAGAGGCCGGGATAACCATGGGCCAGTTTCCAAGCCATTTACCGGTCACAGGTTGAAAGGCTCTGAAAATACGGCTATACATCATTATAAAGCTAAGAGTCGAGGGCATGGTGTCTTTATTGGTGACACTTCAATACCCGGCAGACGTCGTGTGGCTTATAGAATCTTGCGTGCTTCCGCAGCTTCGCTGCCCGTGTGGGTGCATCTCGTTTGCTACTGACGCACTTTTCCCAGCGCTACCGTGGGGATCCTGCCTTACGAAGCGTGTTGACTATGGAGTGCGTTGAAAACGAAGCCAGGTGGGTAGCCATGCACAGTAAATATGCTCGCTGCAGCCTAGATTGCTATATTTTTACGATACACGTGCCCTGCCTCTATCCGTCGGGGAATCGGAATTTATTTGTGATGGAAATGGGGTATCTACTTGGTGCGCAATTGATCTCGCAGGCGCGCCTACGAGATAGAGCAGCAGCTGCAAGGCGCCGATGCCCCGATGCCTTCCCGCTTACTAGTGACAGCAGCGTGGGACGGCCTTTCAGTGGTGCTTCCTCAGAGGTCGAATCCACCAGCTGCTCCTAATGCTACCCAAACGACTTGAGGGATGATGCCCTGCTTTACGTTGAGGGAGTACCTGTGGGTACGGGGGTATATAGCTGCAACGGCGGCCAGTTTCTTTGGAGCTGCACGGCGAGTTTGCGACAGCATGGCAGCGTTTGTAGCAAACATAGGGATTGGAGGCTTTACATGCCAAGCGTGTTCCATATAGATGCACTTGACTAGTTACGATCGGTTTCGATGCTATCCTGCACGGACCACCTAGTAGAGTTACTGCTGCAGCGATATAACTCTGCACTCATGTTACAGACAATGCCAGGACACGTGGGCCTCGTATGTAGCAAAGGATTTACAAAACGGGTTTCACTCAGCGTGAGGGTCCAGTTTCCCATACTGGCATAAATGGTTCCTCACTAGTTTGTCAGAAGTTTGTAGTTATCACTCGTAGTAGCAGCTGCTACTTGTATTGTGTGGGACCTTTCTTTCTGCCTTGTCCACTACTGATGCAGCGGTGCCGCTTGTCGCTGATGTTCATCACCTACCCTTTCCTATGTCTTCTGCTGATGAAAGTTCGAAATTTGTGCACAGAACATATTATTCTCTCTCCAATGCTACTGCCGAGCTAGTTGCAGCTGATCTAGTTTCTCTTGCAGTGGGTGATCGAAGCTCGATGCATCCAAGTGGAACTATCGACTTTAACGGGGGAACGCATTGGAAATACTCTGCTGAATCAACGAGCGGTGCCCATCCGACCCTTGATCGCGACCTCCAGGAAAACCACCTGTTCTTCTTGCGCATCAAGCAGCTTCGTCTCTGAACTGAAGCTGCTTTATATGCAGTCACTTGTGAATCTTTTTCTTCAATAGAGGAGGATGAGGAACTGGAGGAGGTGTCCGACACGAGCGCAGACTGCAGCGTGCTGAATGCCGAGTGTATCTGCAGCACGACCTTCTTCCTGAGTACGGGAGAGGATGCTACCGTCGAAGAGGCAGCAACAAGGCCTGTGGGTTTGGGGGCACTGGATGCGCTCAACCATGCTACATTCTTCGTCACAGAATGTTGATCCTCTCTAAATGCTCTACCTTCTAGAGCTGTTAATCGCTTGTCCTGCATGCCATGTGTTGAGCCTGCGAGAGGCCATTCCCTACTGGCGCAGCTTCGGCATTGGCCGTGGGAAGTGGGGTACCCTGACGCAGTGCTGCTTAGCAACTTATGCGGAAAGATATCTTTATTGTCTGGCAAATTACTGGCAGCCTTCAGGTGTGCAAGCTCGAGGCGGGCTCTCTCCCGCAATTGGGCCTGCAGGGTCCTTTTCACAACGCGAAGGTTCTTTGGGGAGATATCTTCCGCGTGGTAGAAGAGCTTGACAGAGTCCATGCCTTTAGAGTTGGCCTTTAGCTAAAACATAACCAAGAAAAGCATGAATCGAAAAGGTTTGATCAGTGTGGTGTGGTAGCGGATCGAGCGTGCTTGCCGGTGGTCCGATAATTTTATATTTGGGAAGGCAACTGGCGTCACAGGCAGCAAAGCACTTACCTCTATAATTTGCGTGGTATGAGTGAATGAGGAGGCTTGCGAGCAAATGGCTATGTTGATAGAAGGCATCGAGCAGGGAATTTTCGCTCTAAGAGAGCATAGGCATTTTCGGATGGTGCGCCAGTCAGTCGATGGTACGGAAAAGTGGGCTCGGAGGAAGCGACGAATAACAGCCAGCTGGGGCAGATCGATGGTCACATTTGCAAGCAGCGGGCAAACTATCCACCCATACTCCAAAATTCCAGTCGACAAGGCGTGCACCAGCGTTATAGCATCAGACTTCAGTGAACAAGACACAGGTCCAAAGGCCGGGTCACTACTACGTGCCCGCTGGAATACAAATCCCAAAACAGAAAAGACTGTCCTTATATGGCGCCTCCAGAAAGAAAAGTCCTCCTTTGAAACGAGTTAGACTAGGTGATATAATAATACACTCATCGCTCTTGCCAATGTCGAACGCCTCAGCCAGAGCAAGGGGTCCGAAACCCAGCATCCACTTCTGCCAGCAGTGGCCATGCCACTTAGCCCTAAGTATGTCATGAAATGAGCGTTGAAAAGAATTGAGCAGGCAATACCAGGCAAATGTTGCTTCCTTGTGACTGCCAACTGCAGCACTCCTCCACCAGCACCGCCAATCACTTGAGGTGACAACTAGGCACGCCCGCAGATGGTGGTATGTCAGAATCTGTTTGTACGACTGGGTTAGATTATCGAAGATCACGCGATCATAGCCTCAACATTGGCCTGTAATTCGTCCACGTAGAAAAGGTATAAAGATGCTTTGTTCTTAAATTTAAGGGAGAAGCTGCCAAAGGGCACTCACAGCATGTGCTCGTGTGCTTGCCATTCAGCTTTTGTCTAGTATCTAGCCCCAAACTGAATGTCTTCGTTCTCCCAAAACAAACAACTTTTTACATCTTTTTGATTGGCAGCTACCATTTGTCATTGCTGCGGTATGACCTTCATCATCCACAGCACAACGGTGACACAGCTGGCGACGTTGCACAGCGAATTTAAGCTGCCAGTCAGCAGCATAAAAACGGGAACTACAAAATACCCCCTTCGATTACTTTTTCTTGCCGGTGATGTTTGCTTCCCACGTATATTATCGGCAGCAGTCCATGCATCAGGGAGAGCGGGTATGACCTTTCCTGGCTACAAAACGGTAAAGGCTACGTTAATGTGTACAAAAATATTATCATGCCTTATCAGCCCTAGAGCTCGAGCCTCAAATTGTGATGCCCTACATATGTAGGGTCGTACAGATACCAGCGCGGCTTTGCCACTCCGTGCCATTACCACAAATGCTCTCTATAACGCCCTACGCATTCCCAGACCTACACCGAAGCGGTAAGTGAGCAGGGAGAGCACGCTAAATACATACTGTACTAACTTAATGCGCATGTTTGCATAAATTTAAAAGGTTTCATCTTCACTACAAAGAACATCTTGCCTACGGCAAAGCTGCAGAGTCATGCTCCTCTATTCCGGTCCTTTTACATACTTATACAAGTTTCAGTGAAAATGATCACATCTGCAGAATTAGGCTAATGCATTGGCGCTTATTGCTGCTCTTGAATTGCTGCATCGGTTTTTCAAAGGCAGACGACTACTGTAAGACCAAACATGATAGCGTCTTCAGTCTATGCCTATTTAGGTAGACCTGACATAAGAAGGGCCCAGACGTAGCAAAGGCTTTGAGCGATCGACGTTGCTGTTGGCCACTTGCTGGATCAGAACAGAGTCTACTTCATCTTCCTGAAAGATTTACACAAAGGATACCCAAATAACCATTCGTGCACATGTCTAAGTCAACTTTCGATATCTAGCAAGCAGCTGCGTTGGGATTTAGGGGTATGCTGAGAAATGCACGCAACGAAAAGGTAAGCACGTGTGCCGGGGACCTAACAAGGGTTTCTTAAATGATGAGCAGCGCCCTATAGCAAAACTCCATATCTCCTCTTGCTTTTGAATTCAACTGCCATATTTAGAGTGGAGTGCGAAATATTGGGGATGGATGAAGATGTACAAGAAGCTATGAAAATTCATACCAGCATGCGCTCGTGAAGCCAAGTGAATCTGTCAGAGAGAATCTCTTCCGTGTTCAGCCGCCTCATCCGTGCCGTCATGTAGAATGACTGTGACGCACAACAGCATCACAGTAATTGAGAACATCCGTTCATGGATCCTTAAACTAGTGCATTCATTTTGACGGTTGCGGTCCACAAAAATTGTCTTCAATAACAGGAACGATAATGCGCATACTTTGAGGGCTGAATACACAAAAGGTGTAGAGCAGACCGCGATAACCGTGTGGCCCGTGGTCCAGGGGCCCTTCATTAGCCGCGTCTTAGCAGGGGGCCTATGGGAGCAAATCCAGGAAACATACAAAATGTGACATTCGCAAGTAAGACAGCATGACTGTCGATGTACAATGCCTCTAATTAGAAGCAGAGTGGGATTGATAACATTAACAGGAAAGGACAAGGAGCTAATGGGAGCGAGTGGTAGAAGGGGACTAGCAGCCTAGGGCAGCGGACGCTACGTTTTTGTAAATGCGGAAAGTTCCTCGGTGCAACAGAGAGGTCAGACAGAGTTGGATGTAGCGAACGGTATCTTACGCATTTTCTGCGACTGCACGTGGAATTCCCAGAGGCGCCCGCAGACGGGCGGAAAGGCCCAGCAATCCCTTGAGATTCGCCATAGAGCCGCCGACGGTCAGGGAGCACAAAGAAACTCCATCCAGGGGACTAGGAAAGCATTTAAGCTAATTGTAACAAAACGCATTGCTGGTAGAGAGGGCTTCCTTCAGGCGCAAACGCGCCATATTCTCTCTCTGCATGCAGCGTGGGGCTGAAGAGACCACTCAGACGAAAGCATATTCCGTTTATGTGCTATATATCCTTCCTACTTCCCTTTAGATTTTAAAAATCGGGTCTTTTGCCGCTCATCGGCGGCTTTGTTAAACTCAGTCATGAAGGACTGCAATATTCAACAGCACTCGGCCCAGATTCAGCAGGTTGCCCATCTATCTAAGTATTCTCCACCTACTCTTTTGTTCTTAGAAATTTTGTTTCCTAAAGGTGGTTTGAAGGTGGACCTGTCAACAGTGCCTGCTTCTTGAGTCATAGGGGGAGAAGCTTCAGCCTCTAGAGCTCACATTCTTGCTTGCACTTCCCAACAATACGACCATTTTGTCTGGTCTGGTGCAGTGCATCGCGCAATCCATTTTGGCAGCAACGTAGAAACTGCCCTAGGCAGTCTGTCTGAGAGTCTATAATGGCGGCAGATTCTCGGCGTAAACGACCCAAATTCCAACGAACACGATACTTCGCTGACTTGGGCGATGGCTCCATTCCAGAAGCCAGAGTTGCCCACTCTTCAGCTCCGGCCTCGCTCTCAAAAAGGATTTGTTTCATTTGCTTTGGAGAAGGACATGACTCTGTAGGTTGTCCTAACTCTGCTATTGCTTGCAGCGTGTGCGGGAGCAACGGTCATGTTGGGGATGACTGTCCTGTTTACTTAATGGAACTCAGCCTTAGAGGGTCATTGAGAGCGTACATACAACAACAGTGCGAGCAAGAGCAAAGGCCTGCAGACAAAGGGAGATTCCCCGCCCAAGATCCTCAGTGTTCTCAAAGCATCGATCAATCCAATGACGGTATCAGCATCAAAAGCATTAAAAAATCCAACAAGGCTGCCAAACGGCTGGCACTCTCCTCAATACAGTGTGTCGTATGTGGGGAACTGGGTCATGCGAACTGTAGGGAACCCCCTGCATCCCAAGGCGCTCTGTATTGCCCTAGCTGCTCAAACACAGGCCACAGGGTCACAGACTGCCCCCGCCGAACAGCTTGTAGGCAGCAAGGAATAAGTGGTGACATTTGGGCAGAGGCGGCAGCGGCGTGGGCTACCCGAAAGGACGAACGGGGCATCTCCAGGGCCCGCGGAGCAGAATCTCTCAAACCAAAGCCCAGGTGGCAGAAACACCGAGCGGCTTTTATTGCCAAGGCAGCTGCAGCAGACCCCTGGCATCCATCCCACCTCCGTTAGGGGCAGCTGATGTGGTGGGTCAAGGTGCTGTGAAATGCAAGCAGATGAGAAAGGCTCTCTTTTCATTTTTTGAACTTGCCCAAGTAGGGTGCCAAGATACTGTGTGTCTGTGCTGCGTTTCACTCTCCGGCACTGCATTTGCAGGTCGTGTGTTTGAAAGACCTCAATATTACCTTCACTGTGCACAAAATACGAAAAGCTTCCCTTGATTTCTGCAATGCATTTTGCCTGGAAGGCACTACAATGCTGCAACTAGAGCTAATCCGTAGCTTATTATATACCCTGACGCCCTAAATAGTATGAATGTATTGTCTAGGCTGCGCAAACATTCGTTAATCCGAAGGCATTAGATCGGTGTGTTTCCTCATTTGTGTCTTATTTAAGTATATATATCCATTGCCGAAGCAGATACAACAGTGAGCCGCACCTTAATTGGTGCGGCTCTATGATTCACTTACGACGCCAGCAACAATTGCGTGCGTACTTCAGTGCTCTGGCTGAGTGCTCTCGAGGGCCCTCCAATCTCCCACAGGCTGAGCCAGGAGGATTCCCTGGTGAAGCACTGTTGAAAGCTGTAGTTCCACAAATAATACTGAAGGAAAGCCCTTCAACCTGGCCAACTGTTCGAGTAGCTGAACAGGAACAGCCCGAAAATCAACTCGCAGGACAAGCCCACTTCCCCCCCGTCGATTCATCTTGTTGGTGGCTTGTTGCTGTGAGGGAATTTCTTGAAACACTGAACTTTAACGTGACATGCACATGTGGAGCCGCCGGACAAAGCGTGGTCGCACTCAAAGGCTACCAACGAATCGGTACAAGGCTGCAAGCATCCGAGAGTAGTTAGTTGTGCTAGCTTAGCCACTGTAAAGTTACCCCTTCTGCTCTGTATGCCGGGTCCAGTCGTGTTTCTTCAGCAATTTCGTCTATCGCCAGCTGAATGTGATATTCCCATGCAATTTGCTGTGTCCCGGAGAATAAGCACTCTGAGTATGAGAAATTCTCAGTATTGAAATTTACTGTAGCTCTGCACAGCTCTCAATTCCACACTCAGTTAAATTGTATTTAATCGACGAAACGGCCTAATTTTAACCTGTGCCATCAAATCCATCCATCCGGAATAATGAGGTGCGCTACGGGGATGCAATCCAAAGTGGTTCCTAAAATCCTCCGGATGCCATGAAACGGATTCCTCGAATACGGTTGCTGCGCTGACTTCAACTGGTATATCAATAATCGACTTTTCTGACTCGACGGTAACCACCTCTACATGCGGTCGCCAATGGAGTTCTCCCCCGTCTAGCTTTCCCTTGTTCTTTCCGTTACTAACCTCTTCACCATAGCCTGCCCCGTCTTCTAAGGTGTTTTTTCCCTTTGCCAAGCATGTCTTCGGCCGGGGTAGTTCGCTGGTGATACAACCACAAGGACGATGGTGGTGTTCAGGAACGCGCCAACGCTGTAGTGTTGCGTGTCGAGTATCAGAATCATCTTGTGTTACAGCAATTAGGGCTCGGCGTGCATCCTTTCGGTTTATACAACCACTGCAGCTCAAGCCTGTTTTCTCTGCCAGCTGGAGGGAAGGCAAGGTACACGCTTCCATACTGGAATCCGAAGGTTCGATTTCAATTGCTCTTTCAGGAAGGTTCCACATCTTGTGTGGGCGCACTGATGGTCCCGTATTTCCGGGGGCTTGCAACACAATTGGTTTATGCTCCTCTACAGCAGAGGTCTGAGTGTGTTTAATTTTCGGCGAGTTTTCGGCGGCTTTCCCTGAAGATTGCTCTGGCGTTGTGTTCACGTCTTCGAAAACAATAAATTCGCTAAACGGATAAAAGAAATCTGCAAGGTCCATGCCAAGCATTTCTGCGTACTCTTCAAGCTCTGTCGCAGAATCTTCGTCTGGCTGTACGAATCTCGCTCGGCGTTTTGCCGAATCCCGCGAAGTCACACTCATCACCGCTTAGCTAAAGTGTCCCTCTGCGCGCAATTGTGGGTTAGGCAGGGCCGAAGTCGACCATCAAAGGCTGTGGACTTGGAATTCTTGTGCATGCCTAGACCACTTCAGTAGCCTGTTCTTCAATTAGGCAGTCAAGAAAGTCGGCTTCCACTAAAAACAATGCCTACTTTCCGGCTATAGCACAATTTAGATGAAGAATCTCTGCGAATTCCAGGTTGGCACACGCACGTCCGATAGGCCCAGACGAGTCCCAGATCTGCTCTTCGCCGCGAGACTCCGCAAAAGGGGCTCTCTCTACCGCTCGCTAGAGGCCCTCCAAGAGCTGTTCTAAGATCCAAATTGTCAATATGTAGTCGCCACGCAATTTGCAGGCAAAGCATCGACCTCAGCGCTTTGGCTGATGGGCCAGGCGAGCGGTCGCCCTGCACACTTGACCGGACGAAGGATGACGTCGTGTAACTGCAAAGCTCTCTCTACCTTTCGGTCAACTTAAGCGATCACTTGTATTTAGTCACAAAATTAGATACTTCGAATCTTTGCAAAGATAAATTGGACAGACCCGAAGGCTGTCGCAGTTCCTGTCGTCTAGAGGTGACCCTTAGGGCCTGATTTCGGTCGCTGCCACTCTTGCAGTGTGGTACAGGCAGTGGTTAGCAGGATCTAATAGTATCCATGTCTCCTCCTACAAAAACTTACAGGACTGCTTGCACTTGAACATTCATTGTTTTGTAGCTTGTGGATTTAAATTTTCAATGTTGGGGACTACCACCACAACAGTTTTCACCTGTGGGCATCGAAACGTTAACATCAAGACTTTCCTTATGAAAATCAGAGGTTCAAGGGCTCATGGCGCAGAGAGAGTGAGACTGGTGAAGCGGCATCGAATGAAGCCTGCACGCTCCTCTGTATACTGGCAAAGCTTGAATGACCGGTGTGCGCTCCGTGGATGAGATAAAATCAAGGGTATGATATACTTGCTTTTCGGTATCCCTTTTAATGAAAGCTACCAAGGACACCATTCAGATGCCATGATACGCAGCAAATATAGCCAATCATACTATACTAGGGTTCCTGTAACCTGTTCTCTCTTGGTTTGCGAAAAGATTTTGATGTCTATAGCGGAGATTAAAGTGTATTGCTCCATCTTATGTTTCCCCGAGAAGATAATAAACTTCATAGCCAATACAAATACTAACGTCAGCTCAGTGAGCCTTATTATGGAAGAGCTTCTTTCTTCGCCTGCCCACTCCTTCAGTGCTGACATGAAGGGAGAGTGACAGCTATTTTACGCGTAGCTCCACACTCTGAGTACACAGAGAATTCACAGCTAGCTGCACATAGCATCTAGAACACATGTACACGATATTGTGTCATCTCGTATCGAGCTAGTATCACTCTGCATAAAGAAAGGTATACAAAGACAGAGCAATCAGTAGATTCTTCACTAGGTTTTAGTCTAATTGAACAAGCTTACTAGGAAGTGTTCAGGTTTAGCGTGGCCCACTACACCCTCCTCTCCTCATTCCAACACACATGGTCCCGTACCTGGACTAGCTGCAAGTAGGACAACCGAATAGTTTCTACCGCATTGCCGCGCCTCAGGCAGGCAGAAACGTGAGATACAGTGCAACTGAGAAAACCAGAGTGTTCATCGAGTAGGAAAGCGAAACTGAGGACAAACGACGAACAGATTAGGCAGCAGCAACCCAGATATATAAGCTACCCCGACTGCGGCGACGCGATGCTTTGATTTCATCAGATGGCTAAAAATTGTGAGCCTCCTGCAGCGAGAAAACAAGTCCATTCTTGAAGAGAAAAAAAGGCAGACTGGTTCAACGGTGCCTCCACATCACTCCGAGCAAGATTTTCATGCAGCTGTAGCCGCTGTACGCAGCGTAGCGAGCTTCACAGCCTCAAAAGAGGCAAAAGGGAGATTGTAGGACATCATACGTGGGAATGCCTGCCCAAAACACTCGAGTGTAATGAACACCTTGCTAACAGTAACCCGCAGCTTGCTGATCAATGCTCATAGATGATAGTAGCTATTTTATGCAGAGAACGCGTTGGAGAAAGGCAATTACCAAGGAACGCATGTAAGAATATGAGTGACGACCCAAGCTTTTAACCAAACAGAGCCGCACTTCTGCTTATTGGGAATGAAGCGCGCGATTACTTCTCTCTTGGTCACCTATGCCAGCGTTTCCATCTTCCTGCCATTAAAAACTTCAGTCCACTGAGTTATAGGCGAAATCAAGCGCTAGAACCCAGCACTTTGGAATTTGCCCGCAAAATTCTCCTCTAAACGGGTCAGTTGCCCGTGCAGGAAAGGCCGCAACATAATTAAGCTATTTTTGACACCTGTTAAAGGCCCAAATTGATACTTTTGTGACAGCTTCACCTATTAGGGAATCTGAAAGAGAAAGGAAGAACATCGAATATGGAAGGAATCGTGGTTCGCCCTAGCCACCCCGCTGCATCTGTCTTCGTATCGACCCCTTGTAGCGGACGTTGTGAATCCTGACGATCTATTGGCACCGAATACCCAGGATTGTAACAAGTAGAATCGCTTAATGCGGATCCTTGTTTGTATCGCTTCGTTCTACACATAAATTTGTGTTCTCTACTCAACTGTTCTCAATATACGTAAGCCGCTGAAGACTCCTTCTAAACCCTGATCATCAGGGTTACGCTTGGATCTTAGAAGGGTTTTTTAGTGTATACAAGGGATGCCGGGTTGCACAGGGTAGACGAGCCCACTATTGTATTAGTCACCCACTCGGCAAACTAAAAAATTCAACTCACGCACTTAGTTTTTCTGGGAGTCACAAATACCGCAGACGCGCGGGGGTGGTGAGCTCAATCTGTTCATCTGCTTGAAGTCGGGTTGCATCAATTTTATCGTTGCAATATGCAGGCCGGTCATAAAGGCATGCTGAAACGTACTGACAAACGGTGGACCCATACCCGTAGTGATTCTCCTAGAAAGCTTCCAGACATTAGTTGAGAGCAAGCGAACAGATTCCTGATGTTAGAGAGGTGCGGCAAG